TTAGGCAGTTACATCATAACAAATCTACAATTTTAGGATTAGGTCTATTATTAGAGCAGTGCTAATATCATAGTAGACCACAATTCTGCAGTCACCTTCGTCAGTTCACTGATTTCCATAGGTTGCTAGTTTTGGCTGCTGGGAAACAATGGAAGGCACACTCTCGTTAAAATGTAACGTCAACAACTTTGCTTTCGACTCCTCATCCAGAAACGGCAGCGCACGGCTTAACAACCTGTTAAGCTCCGACAACCTCGCCAACCGCAACTTCCGCAGTGCTTCCTCCCTGTCCACTGGGCTGTCGAACTCCGCCACCAACCACTCCGTGACCGTCTCCCATATCGTCTTTCCGCCAGCACAGTCCAAGCTCTCATACGCAGCTTTCGCCCTGCCTCACAGCAGCGTACCCAGCACCATCATCTCCTTCGGCTCCTTCACTCCCAACAGCTTTGCCACGGCCTCAAACTCCTTCAGGAAGCTTAGCACATCTCCACCCTCAAATTCCTTCGGCCACGGAATCTTCATTCCTAGTGCTCGCAGCGACACCAAATGTAGTGGAGGAGAACACAGGTGAGGACAACCGAACTACATTGAGAACAAAATTACGGAGTTACATGGTAAAATAGAAAAACCATACTATAATACTTGATGTGCAGAATGTTCAATAATTGTCTCGGACTTCATTGTTCTTGCATTTCCATACTAATTGCTTTCTATTCTCGTTCTTCCTTTCTTGATCTTCCCCATCTTCTGCTTCCAGACATTACATTCCTGACTCGCATCATATACTACTTATGTCAATATAAATAGCACGCACGACACAGTTATTCGGTGCTGATCGATGCTGAGATTTATCTCTTCAGTCCTCTGTAATTTAAATCCATCCCACATTTTTATTCTCTTACGGAGAAGGATGAGAACCCCACAACTGAACTATGGTGGACAGTTTTTTGGCCTCTTTGGTATAGTCCAATTGATGTGCTGTGCAGTATCGTTTCTGTATACATTTCGAAATACATCCCAAGTTGTCTCAATTGTCGATTATATGACGATTATATGGAAATAAAGGGCTAGAACTGCATGATCACATATACCTAGGGGTGGCATGTAATCGAGGTTTGTGACGTCATCCTCATAATGAGTCAATATGTAATCTAGTAAGGATGATTCAGAGTCCGTGTCGTAGGAATTTATCGTCAATTCATTTCTCAGATTTTTTCAATCTACCGTGGGTGCAATAAAGTCTCCTAGGTTTAGACATCTACCACTTTGTGACCAAGTATTGAGACTGTTAAGCAAGACTTCATTCACCTCACAGCCCGGGTTTCGATAGACCAAACCAAACAGCAGTTCTTGCAGTTTTAGTGGGTTTAACCATCTTTTAGTTTCGATTGCCAGATGATATTATTCTGAGGCTTCTGGCATTACCAACTACTGTCCACTGCTTTTCGTATTAAATGTAAGTGTATCGCATACGCTTTCTTTGTCATCTATCCGCACTTTCGTCCACTTTTCTCTTTTCCGGCTCTTTTAATCGTCGCTACTCTTCATGCTCCCCAAATACACGAAGTTCCTTCTAGCTAGGCACAAACCGCTTCACAATGGCGTTTGAACTTGCGGATAGTCCTTACTTCTGTGGGTTTATAGCCACAAAGGGCGGTCTCTTTGAATATGTGGGAGGTTCACATGTTTGTGAAGAGAATAAAAGAAGCTTTCGCTAAACGGGCAATTTAGATATTTCGACAAGTTATCTACTATTTTGGTTTGTTTTAACATATCGTCATGTCAATTGATTGCAGAACGTTTTCAGGTGAGCCTATGAAAAGTTTACTACCTTTCGCTGTACAAGTTACGAAAAAAGTGCAATCAGAGACAACGCGGCTGCTGACAATGTGCATCAAAAAGAGTGCACATTATTCAGATGTCGATTTCCGGAGTGTTAACATCTAACATCCTGTATTATACCAAAAATATAATATTAAATAAGGTTAATAATTTGATCAACCTAAAATAAGCAAGTTCAGTCAGAGTTTGTCATTTTTAATCAGTTAGCTGGTTATTTTTTCCATTCGATGGACAAAACCGCCAAGATCTTGTGAATTTCGTCGTTTCTCCATTGCAACCTGACAAATTTTACAATTTTACTGTCTAGGGTATTTTTATATGGAGTAAATTTTGTGGTCATTTTTGCCTGATGGTTGACTGAGCTCATAAATGTTAACTACCTAAATGTTTCTTCCCTGTTAAGGAAAGAATACAGTGTGATTGACTTAGAAAAATTTTCCATACGATGTTTGGAATCTAACTACTGTTGACTCTGTATGTTTTTCTGCTTGAATAAAACATTACTATTCCAGTAGGAAATAGGCTTTCTGGTGCAGGTCAGTAAGCTGAAGATAGACACACTAGCGATTAAAGTACAGACAGCCAATAATGCACCACTGCAGAAGCAACAGGGATCGTAAGAAAGTAAAGCCTCTCCGAGAACAGACAAAGAGTAAATGCTATTGCATATCAGTCGACACGACTCTTAAGTCCTGTCTTAAGACCCAGATAACCGTCATCATAACAAATAGCACTAACATTGCTGTCCTGAGTAAAAAAATCTGTTTCCATTGACTAAGCGTGTCTGGTTGATATGTCTTTAGTAGACTTCCATTACCGATCACAGAAAACTAAGCTTAAAAGTGGTTGCAACAAATATTATTGAGCGTAATATGGTAGAATCGAAACGCTCTGATTTAAAGCCTGGGCACACAAATCTTTTAAAAAAGTTGGGATCGATTTTTATAGCATCTAACGAGACAACTCCATAAGCGTTCAAATTAAAACATTTATAAGAATAAGGAAGAGGGCTGAAGATCTTGACCCTCGACCATGATGACTACTGAAAATTTCCCTAAATTCAAGGGTGCAAATAAACTTTTCGTTAACGAGAGCTCGAAAAAAAAATATCACGGATATTCGAGCAATAATTAACTTTGTCTCTAGAAGATGGGGTAAAAACGAGGCCGGTTAATGACCAATTGGCAAGCTAGTCACCGAGATTCAGGATCAGAGGAACAGATGGGCGGAATACTTTGAGAAACTCTTGAATTGGCCAGCTCCGTTGAATCAGCCTCACATCGAAGCAGCACCTACAGACCTTCCTACAAATGTCACTCCACCAACGATCGAAGAAATCAGGATGGCCATCAGGCAAGTAGAGGATGGGAAAGCAGCATGACGTGGCAAAATACCAGCTGAAGCACTGAAGTCAACTATGTAAGTAACTACAAAGATGCTCCACGTTCTATTCAGGAAGATTTGGGAGGAAGGACGAGTGCCATTGACAGACTGTAATGAAGGAAAGCTCATCAACGTGTCAAAGAAAGGAGATCTGAGCAAATGTGAGTATTTCAGAAGCATCACACTACTGTCAGTACCAGGGAATATTTTCAACAGAGTGTTGCTGAACCGGATTGAAGACTCAGTAGATGCCCAACTTCAAGATCGACAAGCTGGATTCCGTAAGCATCGGTCGTGCACAGACTGGATCGCGACACTATGGATCAACGTTGAACAATCAATTGAATGGAACTCGTCACTATACATCAATTCCTTTGACTATGAGTAGGCGTTTGACAGTGTGTATAGAAGAACATTATGGAAAGTTCTTCGACACTATGGTGTGAGTAGCTGAGAAAGTCGTCAACATCATACGGAACTCATACGTCAGACTACACTGCAGTGTGGTGTATGGAGAAGAGATGACAGATGCATTTCAATTGAGGATCGGAATCAGATAGTGGTTCACGAGGGTTCAGTACCAGGACCTCAACTTTTCTTGATTTATATAAACGATCTTCCACAACACGTATCTTCATTCTTCTCACATTTTGCTGACCATGTGAAACGTCGAAGAGAAATACGCAACCAAGAGGATATACTGGTACTTCAAGACTATCTTGTCCGACTTTATAGTTGGGCAGATGACAACGGACTAACGTTTGACACTTCAAAGTGTAAAGTAGTCCATTTGAGACATGCTGCAGACTACAGTTACAACTTAGGAAACTTCTCTCTAGAAGTATCTCAATTTGAAAAATATTTAGGATCGCTGGTAACCCACAATTTGAATTCTTACGCTAACTGTGACAGAAATGCCTTTCGAGCAAACCTTGCACTAGCAACATCGAAGTGAATTTTTGGCCAGTTTGACAAGAGAAGTTTCCACATGATTTTCAAGTTTCATTCGTCTCCATTTAGAGTACGAAAACACAGTATTTCCTCCATCACTCCGAAAGGTTAAGTACACTCTGGTACTTATCCAGCGACGAGTCACAAAATCAGTTCGGGGACTAAAAATCAAGCCTTATGGAAAGCACCTCCAATCATAGAACTTCTACCCACCAGAGGACGGGATTGTTATGGGTGACATTCTGATGCTTTATTATATACTAAAAATTCTGGTCATCCCCTTAAACACCTACTTAAGCTTAGTCCCAACACAAACCTTAGGAGTAGCACCTGGAAACTGAAGACACAACATTGAAGGACGGAAAATATGCGCATTTTATATCATTTTAGAGTATTCAAAAGCTGAAATCCAGTTCGAACTGAGCTAGTTCAAGCGACTTACCAGGAGTCCTTTAAGAGAAAACTTGACATATTCTTAAGGACTAAGAAAAATATCTTACTACGATCTACCAATTTATTTTTTCTCTTTTATCGTTAATACACTCAGGTTCCTGCCTGGAGGTATTGGTGATCCACTGCTACTAGAAACAGAAGCCCGTTAAGCGAAAGCTTCTTCTATTTCGTCCAAAACCATTTGGACCATTTGGAATTCTGCTGAAAAATCATATATTTTTGAGCGATTCATAGTTTAGTTACAGGGAGGCTATCATGAAGTTCAAATATGAACGATCCTGAGAATTCGAAAAAAGGTTTTAGTTTTGTAAATGTTGTTTCTCCCATAGTTATTTGGGGTTTGATCTCATCAATTAGTCCTTGATGAGATATTTTTCCAGCGCGTAGTACGAAAAGTTTGGGATGCTAGCTGTTGATGTGAGTTCTTCAGTGCTAAATTGATGACATGTACGTTTCAAAGTGCCATGAGGACTGTTATGAACAAAGATGGCCAAAGGTGAATACAATTGTGAAGCGCATCCTCAATACTGAGAATGTCAGTAGGGACGAGTGGCAGAATATGTTTGCGTAAGTATTTCACCTCATGTTTATTGTTCAGAGATGTACATTATATCGTCTCATGGCAAGAATCAGCAACAACCGCCATCATCTCTTCCCTTACAGAAACTGTTAAGGAATCGATAATGAGAGTTCAGCAGGTAATGACTTCTCGTTTATAGGATTTCAACTTTAGCTTGTTATGCGTAATCAAGATGAATCTTCATTATTAAAATCGTACATAGCTCAATGGAATAAGTTTTCTAAACAAAGCGAATATCTTCCACAACCATTTAGTCCATTAGAAAACTATCTGGTTGGTAAGCATCTTAACGGTCCCAACAAACGTCATCTTCAAGAAAGTACTATTAGAAAAGTAGCTTGCTGTATGAAATTCAGTTACATTTTAGCTGATGCTGGAAACGTGGAACAGTACAATCTACGAATCCATTAAGCAAAAGCTTCTGGACAGTGCTATTAAGCTTATACAAGATGAAAGATGTGGTCAGGTTATTGATTCACAGCTCGTCATAGGTGTTCGTGAGTCCTGTGGTAAGCGTTCTATCACCTCACGTTTCTTGCATTGCTTTTTATTGAACCATGTATCGTTTTTTTAGTGGTTAGTATCGTAGGATCTCTTAAAATCTGATTTTTGACTGACATGTTTCTACTTTCTCCATATGCCGTCATATATATTAATTTTAATAATTTCTCAGCCTGAATCTTTTGTATTTATTCTCTTGCTAATAGCTCTAACCGTGGTCCGCTAACACATTTCGGGGGGAAGCTGAAGCATGAAGTCGCTTCAGTTTGTTGATCGCACATCCTAAAGGTGTGCCTTCCTCAGAAATAAAATGCAGTAGAACTATCGGCAAGACTATAATTTATGGACAGACCAGCGACATTTAAGATAACATATCCTAGACTTTGGCGCGAAATTTATTCACTCATTTGTCTAAATAGCGTTTTGGCATTTTAGCTGATAGTTTGTGATTAAAACCTTAAATATAATTCCTAGCCATAACTATCAACTGTGAATATTAATCCTAATCTCTCACTGGTTTATAACCTTCATTTGGCCCCAGTTATGTGGAAACTTTTAAGGTCACTTTAGCGTCGCTCGAAGATCTATAAATTATAGTCTCACCGAAATATGTATTATAACATGATTTTTATAAAGACTAAAGCTGTATGGTTGCCAGTTGCGAAGCTCCACTTAAAATAAGAACTCGGGGTATACTGTTTTCTTCGAAATCACTAATTATTTTTGAAAAAGCTTCAAGTTTGGGTGGTTTTTAAAGTGCAAACATTATATTTGTGTACATATTAAATTGGTTTTGTGTTGTATGATTGTTTATTGCAATTCTTTAATTGAACTAATCATTTGGCTAATTGCTACACCCATTATGGATAAGTTATTCTTTCTAGCATTACTTGTTCCATCAAACCAAATACGCAGAGCCTTTCTTATTTTATGTACCGTAATGGCAAAAAAGAATTATCTGTAAATAATCTGTTCATTTTACTCCCATAGTATCTCCTCGTTTGCATATCACCATAATTTCATCCCCTTCAAAGAAATACCATCTCTTTAGAAATCGAATGAAAAATTATGCTAAATTTATCTTTGTTCGTTAAGAGGACTACTTCGAATCGCCTTCTTCGTTTAGTCCTGCTAGCATAGTAAACATAGAAAACCCATTGACTTGCGTTAATCAGTTTTTCCATTATGATATCTCCATATTTGTCTCATTATGTTAAGCGGAATAGTACTTCTGTTTTATAAGGAGACAGTAAAGTATTCTAACATGAAAAACTAAGACATCGATGTTCATTCACCTTGGTTTAACCGTTTCTCAAGTGATCGAGGTCTATAATTGAGTAGTCACTTTTATTAAAATCATTAAAACTCTCAATGTCTTATTGATGTCTTATTGAATGATTTAGTTAAAATATCAACTATGTAGATGCTGTCAGAATCATGGGTTTGTTTGTTACCATACTACTTTAGCATAACAAGATTAATAGCAAGAGATCAAAGTAATGTGACAGTAATAATAAAGTAAACAGATACAGTCAGTCAGTAACAACCTGGAACTTCGTACGTACGTACATCAGCTCGAGTTGTCATACCACATTAGCACAGAGATTCAGTTATCGATTCAAATCCCGTTGTGGTTGAGGTAGTGAAATATTAAGTAGTGATAGGAAACATTAGGGTTTGATGATGTTATTTAAGGAGTATAATCCAGTGAAATAGATTTGGAAAGAAAATAAAGGACATGAAGAATTCAGAAGATTAGAGTTTGGGAGAACACAAAGAGTGGATGCACCTGCGCCATTACAAACGATATTGAGCCATGTCATTCAATGTCTCTAACCATCGGTTGCTATCATCTCGCGGATCCAAATCAGTTGGTCTACACCTACCAACATGGCTCAGTCCACGTGTCAATGACTTCATGGATCTGTGTTATGTTTTGTCCTAACCGCCCCTAGTTCTCTTCCAACCCACTCCTACACCATAAAACATCGCACGTTGGGGCAGTCGGTGGTTGGGCATACGTGACACATGTCCCGGCCATCTCAACTGATTAGGTTTCACTACTTCATCAATTGATTTGCCATCCTTATCCAGTACCCGTTTTCTAACAACTGAGTTACTTACTCGGTCGTCCGAGGATATACGAGCAATGTTTCGAAGACATCTATGGTCGAATACTAGTAGCCTACGAATATCCTCTACTCTTGCCGGCTATGTTTCACTGCCATAAAGTAGGACGGAACGAACTGCTGCTTAATAAACTCGTCCTTTGGTTGATAGACGAATATCTCACCTGCGTCATAAATGAGGTAAGTTGGCAAAAGCTAGTCGAGCCTCCTGTATCCGTGCTGAGATTTCATCACACACCAGACCACAAGGGCTGATGAGACTTCCAAGATAAGTGAATCGGTCGACACGTTCAACTACTTCACTCCCTATCACTAGTTCGAGTGTCGATGCCACCCAATCCTGAAGCAACATTTTGCATTTCGAGGGAGAGAATCGCATGCCGAACATGCTTGCATTGTTGCTTAGCGTGGTCAGCAGACTCTGCATTTTGTCAGCGTCTTCACCAAATAGAACTATGTCATTGGCATATTCTAAGTCAACAAGTGAATTTCCCGGTAGAAGTTGAACCCCTGGGAAGTCAGATGTGGAAAGTGTTATCTCTGAAAGCACGTGAGTGACAAAGTTAAACAAGAATGGAGAGAGTGGACAACCCTGACGAACACCACTTGAGGTAATCAGTTCTGATGACAGTTTGCCATAAGCTCTTTTCAGGCCAGTTGTGTTCGAGTAGAGAGCTTTTATAAGGTTAATGTACTTCTCTGGTACTCCTTTCAGTGACAAACACTGCCATAGAACCTCACGACCAACAGAGTCGAGTGCCACCTTAAGGTCGAGAAATACGACTATTGTGGGGTGTCTGAATGTGTGTCTATGTTCTAGGACCTGACATAGTGTGAATATTTGTCCTATACAACCATGTCCAGGTCGAAAACCGGCCTGGTTTTCTCTAGTCTGCTCTTCACGAGCTTTGGTTAGGCGTCGAAGTAATATTGAAGCTAATATTTTAGACACTATATTAGTCAAACTAATTCCTCTGTGATTGTCACAAGAGGACTTTTGTCCTTTTTTATAGACTGGCACAATCAGTGATTGAGACCAGTCAGATGGGATTACGTCCAGTTCCCAGATTCTACCTAAGACCTCAGTCAATCTCGCTGCTAATACTGGACCACCATCCTTAAAAATTTCAGGGGTAAACCTGTCAGAGCCTGCTTCTGTTCCACGCTTCAGATTTCCTATAGCTTTTTCAACTTCGTAAAGAGTTGGAGGACTTACATCAACTTGCCATTCAGGTAGACTGGAGATCGTGGGAAACCGAAGTGTTGCTGAAGGCCAGTTGAACTGATTCCTAAAGTGTTCTGCCCGTCGATCCAATCTCCTGGATTGAGAATGAATAATATGTCCATCTTTTTCGGAGATAGTTTCGCTAACAGTTGGGTTCCTAATACCGGTTTCCTTAACAAGTCTGAATAGTTGCCTGCTGTTACCTATTGCTGCTGCCTTTTCCATCTCTTGCTTTCGCTACCCACCACTGTTCACGATCATTGCGTAGGCTTCTAGTCAGTTTACGCTTAAGCTGACTCCGCTCTTCGTTGTGTTTAGTGCCAGATGGAATGAGTTTTCGAGCATCTATCAGTGTGGTAGACGCTGCTGAGATCCAGTGTTTCTCCCTAACCTTATGGTTTACCGTACTTGCAGACATCACTGCTGTTTCTACAGCTTTTCGGATGTCATTCCATGCCGCCTCGGGGTGGGAATCACTTACATGGCTGCCTAACTGTTTTTCTAGTTGTTCCTGAAATATACTCTTAGCTTGATTATCATTAAGTAGGACCCTAAGGGGTTTCGTTGCACCCTCTTTCCTACGCTCGCACTAGAGCATGATCTGAGTCTAAGCATGTGCTCCAGAATGAGCGACAGTCTTCTATCGAGTCCCTCCATCGGTGGCTGATAGCGATGTGATCTATTTGGGTCCAGCGTTGAGACGAATTAGGGGGTCGCCATGTCAAAAGCTGTTTTTCCTTATGCTTAAAGTTAGTGTTTGCAAGAAACGGGCGGTTATTTGAGCATAGCTGCAACAGACGGTCGCCATTATCTGTTCTTTGAGCCGCGACACCATAAGATCCACCCAGGTGTCATTCCCTTTCGCTTAGTTTACCTAGTTGAGCATTAAAGTCACCAGCCACTATTACTACATCAGAGCGCCTAGCTTTTCGGAGAAGGTCGGAAAGCTTCCTGTAAAACTCATCTTTTACATTATCTGAGCTGCAGTTAGTGGGAGAGTAGGCAGAGACGATGAATAGGCAACTACGAGTGTCCCTATCTTTCTGAGTTCTTACTGTTCCGTTTAGTCGGACAGCGCATAAACGACTGTCTACTGGGATCCAGTCTAAGAGAGCTAGTTCTGCCCTAGGACTCAATGCTATACCTACGCCGGCGAGGCCACGGGAAGCAGCATCAGGACTTCCAGATACACGAAGCGTAAATCGAGTTGGTTCGTTACTTTGACATGGCGAGGTCAAGTGAATGGCACTACTCGGATCCTGTATGCGCGTTCCGGAAACGCAGCACACATCGATGGAGCGAGATTCTAAAGTCCTAGCTAAGGAAGCCTGTTGTCCTATTTGGCACAGTGTTCGGACGTTGAAAGCTCCTACGTGTAGTTTAGAGCGTGGTTTCAGGAGACCAGGAGTAACGTTCCGCGTACTCGAATCGTTTGCACTAGCAGTGCGAGGTGGTAAAGGGACGTGAGAAGGGTTAGTCGTGGAGATAAGCGAGTTATTAGGAGATGTAGGAAAGATTTGAATGTGACCAACTTGGTCTCGTGTGCCGTTACAGGTATGAGGGTTGATGTCACTTTCCGGCTGCCCACACCGTGAAAGGGTATTTCTTGAGGAACCTGAAAAGGAAATCGGATTAGTGTTGGTCTTGAAGATCTGAGAGCGTGACCGCAGAGCCCAAGAGACAACTGCTTGAGCCCGGTCGCGCAGGGCCTTTTTGTGGGAGGTTTTTAATGTGTTAGCTCCGTTCTCCAAGGGGCTTTACCGCCGGAGACGGAAATCCGTTGGGTAAGGTGAGGTGTGACATTTTTAGGGTCAACCTTTCCTAACCCCTTCCTTTTTTGTGAGAAGGCAGCATCGATGTAGATGCTGGTTGTCGGAGGGAAATACCTTACTGCTGTCATACCTCTGTACAGTGAGCAGTAAGACTTCGCCCTTAGACTTTGAGTTGCTGCTTTTATTCCTATTGTTCTCCAATCGACCTGCCTGGCATGGTAGAACCTGCAGAAACATATGTTCCAGCCAATATAGCTCGGTTGGGTCATCACGATAGGAATGCTCGACCATCACGTCAAGGTAGCAGCTACGGTAAAGTAAACAACTGAACGTTGAAGCAATACTGGAGCTCAATGTCATAGGAAGGCTAAAAAGCGAATGTGTCTGTGTTATACCTTGACACTAATTTTTGATATGCTGCTACTGGTATTTATTTTGGTTATGGCTGCGAGATAACTGATACTTGTTCAACAGAACATGATTTAGCTGGTTTTATTCAATGAAGGAAGCAAAACTGGTAGATAAGGATTTATCTACGAACATGCCATTGATTAAAACATCCAAAATAACAATAAAATGCTTCATTTTAAATATTCGGTCAATAAATGAATTCTAAACGCAATAACAAATTGATGGAGGATAAGTAAAATGTAGATGTTAAGAAAGTTTATGTATATAAATTATCTTAGTCATTCGGCCAGTAAATTTTATGGATTGAACTAAAAGCTAATCAATAATTTACTGTGTGTATACAATTTATACAATCAATAAATCAACATATTTCAGGTAACAGATGTTACCAAATTATTGAGTTATGTATTCTACTTCATCATATTACTTATCCCTTATGATTTGAGTGCACTTGAGTAAGGTTTCCTGTAGAGGAAGCTTCAACTTGAAACTGTTCTCTTTCTTGATTCCCTCTTCTTTTTGCGAAAGATATGGTCTCGGGTCATGTTCGTTTGAGTCTTTGACGTTGTTGAATGCCACGTCGATAGAATAAATTAATTGACGGGAAACCGATCTGATTCTTTTTTTGAATGAATAAGCGATATCGGTTTTCCTACCAAAATGACCTTTGTATTTCCCTCTTTCATACTTTACGCATTTGTGTTTTTCGCGTTAGACGATAAATGCCCTAGATCACGTGTAGGGTTACATTAAGAAACATACATTGTAGAAGATACGTATGAAGTTAGTCATTCGATTGAAAAGTCTTCGTACTCACGGTATCAAAATTAGCCTATATATTTGATCGATTCAGCTCCAGACTCTTGCATAGTTCTCCTTTTTGTCAATTAAAGTACTTTTTTAAAATATTTGTCGGCTAATATTTATTTGGTGTTTTCAGTTTACATGGTCTTTGAATATCGTAAAGTCGCATAATTTAATAATTATTTATGTTTGTAATTCTAGGCAGTGGTTTCATTTTTTCGTCTTCCCTGTTCAGAAATTGTTAGGAACCATGTATACAACATTCACTGTTCTCTTCTTTACGATGCTTGAGTATTGCAAATTAAACGTGTTGTTTCAGTGTCCTTCACATTCGTTTCCTACTAATTCAATCACCAGTTTGTTTTTAGTCCATATCACTTATTTTTATTGTTCTGTTTGCTTGAAAATCATATGTGTTTTGTTGTTTTACCCATTCTAGTCAATTTATCTACGTTATCAGAAAAATCCTTTCGAATATATGTGGATAATTTCGAAAAAGCATATATTGAAAGCACAGAGAGTTTTTATCGTATACGTATAGATGAATACATTCAGAAACATGGAATAAGAGTAAGTATAAAAGTGAAAAAAAGTAATATACATTTTACAATCAGTATTAAAACTCTCGAAGACAAAGCAAGGCTGTGAGATATAAGCCCTAACTATCTAGTTATAGTTTAAATCGAAATTTAAGTACATTGACTTGATCAGTTCGTATAGTTTATCTTCAAATCAGTAGATTTCGATATGAGTAATGAATTATTTATATCTGTTCCAGTCATTTAGTTGAGTTTCGAGAATCAATTCCTTATTAAATCTTCCTAACCACTATGCAATTTTGTTGAACCATATCACATAATTTTGACCACTGATCACCATCTGTTACTGCGCGGATAACATATATGTAGTATGCACCCATCCACCTTATTCAGACCAAAAGTAAATGAATTCATAGACTGATGCCGCATTATACTTTGGCCATCTCCAACCTATTTCCAACGCGCCTCTACACAAACTGGCGTTGGGTGGGGATCCGTAATGCATTCTCCAATTACCTCGGTCAATGTGGATTTACAGTAACATTAACTGTTTAGACACTTTTATCTGGTACCTCTCGTCTAACTTCACTAATTCTTACTTGACTATTGCACCTTATACGAGCACTACTTTGTGATATGCGATCAGTTACTAGTGAAGTACAATAGAGTGGTGGCTTCGCGGTTAAGTTGTTCGACTTCCGGCCGCTAGGTCCTGGGTTCAAACCCCACCCCATCCACCTACTTCGACTTGGGCAATCAGGTAGTACTGATAGTCCTCACAATTAGTTTATGGTTTGCTTCCAAACACTTGGTGAATGAGTTAGTTGATTTATTTTTTAGTGACATACACATGTCGTCTACCTTAAGAGGTCATATCTCCCGGTCGTAAAGCTATACAGAGTAGACTGTTGAACAATATACTCTCCTTCTGATAGATAGTTAGGTAATTTGGTTGTGTGACGGTTAACGCGAGTATGTAATAACCGGATTAAATTTTCGTATGGATTTCAGGGTTTTGTTAGTCACAGATAGACTAAGGGAGTGGTATAGTGCAATATACTTCATAATCCAATTTATTTCCTCTCAGCGGTCCCACCTCAAGGTCGCTACAGTGACCTCCAACACAACACTTACATCAAAGAACACAAGATCGTACTTTAAATTTGTTCTGTAAAATTTCTTAGTAACTTGATGTATCCACTGTTCAAAAGAACGAGGCTAGTCCATCATCTTCCCTCAAAAAAATTGACTCAATTGATGGTAAGAAAAACAGTTACTGTTTTCCACTTCTATTTGTACTGGTTAATTGTTAACTATTAGCCTTTCTTATAGTTAAACTATACAAAACTAACCGAAATTTTAAGCCTTCAAACTTTTGTAACATCAAATTCCATACAAAATATTTTATTTCCTTTTAAATATCAACTTCTAATAAATCATACTAGTCAATAGTTATTTCATTTTGTAATTTATGAAATTGTTCAAATTATGGAAATCATATGATTGTTTGATTACTCAGGAATTAATTAATAATAATTTTTTGTAGATATATTTTACTAAATAAATTATTTAACCATTTATTTCATTTCCATAATTCAATGAGTAGACAAAGATGATCAGAATTATGTGATATATTTGCGCAATACATTTCAAACAGTCTGACCACACATATACTTGATAAAATATTTTATGCATGAAAACATAAAAGGTCAACTACACAAATTAAAAGATAGGCGGAAACAAGTCAGTTAGTCATCTACAACGTAGGACCAGGCTCATATTTGCATCGGCCCAAGTTGCCACACCTCATTAGCACAACAAGATGAACACCAAATTCATAGAAGTAGTCACTTCAATAGTAGTGATGTACAAAAGAAATATTGTATGTAAGGATATGGTACAGGAAGAAAGAATTAGTTCGTAGAAAGAAAGGTATAAAATAATTCCAACCTCACGGTTTAAGCGAAGACAAAACGTGTATACACCGACAATATTGTGACCGATTCTGAGCCATGTCACTCAGAGTCTCTAACCATTGGTTACGATAGTCACGCGGACTCCAACCAAGTAGTCTGTATCTACCAACATGGCTCCGATTAGAATTTATTGACTTCAATGTCTAGTGCCACGTTTTGGTTTGACAGCCTCTAACTTTCTTCCAACCGTGTCCAACACTAGTCAGCATTGCGAGTCGTGGTAAACGGTGGAAACAAAGATAATAACAATAAAATACACAAAAACAATGTGAAGAACCACACTAGATAACAAATTAGTATTACCAGAGTAAAGGCAAATTGTTTTTGAACACATAAAGGAGGTCTCAATTTTCGTATAGTCAGGGATTCAACAAACCTTAGCGCGCGCCCTTGAACACTATTGTACAAACTGCAAAGGTTGACTTGATATCAACCTTATGACCTGTCTAAACTAAATGTTTCTCAATGGAGGAAGATATTCTTACCCTTAACATACTTTGGTAATACTGATTTGTTATCTAGTGTGGTTTTCACATTGTTTTTGTGTATTTTATTTTTATCTTTGTTTCCACTTGCCTTTTAATTTGTGTAAATGACCCTTTGTGTCTTCATACATAAATGATCTTAACAGGTCTATGTGTGATAAGATTGTTTGGAATCTATTGCTCTAATATGTCACATAATTCTGATAACCTTCGTCTTCATATTGGATTATTGAAATTTATGAAAGGGAGTAGTTGTTTTAAATTTTTTAAAATCATTATTTTGCTTTTAAAGTCATTTTCATACAACAGTAGTTAAATGTTATTTCAAAATGATCAACTTTAAAGATGATCTTAAAAGTTCAGTTTTGATTAGCGGTTGAGTTGTCAAAGTTGTATTAACTATTGAAGATTAAGATTTTTGACTATATATTTTTCATTTTAAAAAAAGTATTATATACCGACTATTGGGATCTTCAAAAATCTATGAACTTATAGCCTTCAACTGACTCCGTACGAATGTTATTCTCTCCCCTCATTTAATTTCTTATACAGTGCCTCAATGAATGCTATTTTTCAGCAGTAATATAAAAAACCAAATATTTATTATACTGAAAGAATATATTTTATACATTCTTATCGTTATGTAAACCGTAATTTGTAAATCAGCCAGATCTGGCTGATGTTAGACTATCATGTATGTTTGCAGTACCAAGTGATCACTAGTGATTAACTTCAAGATGAACTTCTCGGAGTTCAAATGAGCGGTTGAGACCAGTGGACTTCGAATATATCAAATATGAGACAGTTATCCACCACAGGCAGTGTAAAATGTTCGCTCAGTGTCATAAATCAATTAATGTTAGCCATATACACCATTGGATGTTGGCTCAGTCGTTTAGAGGTTAAGCATTCTCACATAATACCAAAGGACCTCGTTTTGATCCCCAGTGATGGGTTTGTAAATGACCACTGCTGAGGAGTCCCATATTAGGACGAAGCAGCAATATGATGCTTACTGGCTTAAACTATGAAATTCCTGCAATCTTCAAAATCGTATTATATTTTTGTTGCCTCAGATAGGGTTTATCAACAATATGCTCAAAATGATTTACTTTATGAATTGAAGCAACAAATTCCTTACAATAAAATAGTAATGTCCCTACTATAATTTTTGATATTTACCAATTTCAGCAACAATATGAGCAGAAAATTTACTTATTATCCACTGGTAAACTCAATAAACAGTTATAGATTGTAATGCCTTCTGAAAAATTGCTCTTCACAGTTTAGGAAAGTATTAGAGGTAGCTAACATTTAATCCTTGGTAAATGTGAATCTATTTTTATCAGTGGAGATGGATGGCGGCTAGCAATGGGATCCAAAACGTGCGTTTCGTCTTATTTGGTATTGGTCAGCTGGATATACCTGCATCCCACAGTTGATGTTCCCTCCACCATCCAACTGTGCTTATAATGCTTGTAACTTCAGGTAATATCGAAGCAATCCCCATAGGATGCACATATACCAATAGAAGACCGATCAATTGCAACCCTAAACATCAATGGGAAGACTCAAACAACCAATACAAAAGTGAATCTATTTTGTTTTCAAATGTTTCTCATAATTCCTAGCTTATTTCTTCTATGCAATTTCGAATCGTGTTTGAAATGTTCACACGGGATCTGTAGTAGTTATATTTGTATATTATCGTATAAATTATATGCATCATTCCCCGTCAATACTTTCAAATTATCTTGTGTTCTTATGATTAATATTTATTGTTTATTAAAAAATACAGAGTTACATGCAATACGCTTTGCAGAAATTATCTGAAGAAGAGGCTCGTGCTGTAAGATATTTAGAAACTCAGCCAGAATTCAATTCCGTCCCTAAGTTAATGAAAGTATGCCTCAAGACGTTTGTAGTCGACTATATGGTAAGTTTGTCGCCGACTTTTTGCATTGATATGTATTTTTCTGACCAGTATTTTATACTGAGGTAAATGACCGCAAGCAATATGTATATATATCGTTTAAATCATTTACAAACTGTCTGCTCTCCATCATAGTCCATTCAAATCACCTGGTACCATTCATATGTTATAGACAATTTACATTTACCATTAGTAGATTACTAGTTCGATATTTCACCATTATCGATTGTCTTAGAAGGTTCTATTCACTTGCTGACTGTATAGACTGTTTTCTGCAAATTTCTGTATCATTCTTCATTGGTTACATACAAATTTATCTAATATGGTAATTTCACCCTTTTTGTTGTTGCCTAAATTATACTTTCACACACCTTGCTTACATTAGACTTACTAGATATGGAAAGTTGCTGGTTTTTCGTCTTTTAGTATTAAAACTATAGTACGAATTAATTTTTATCAAAAGTGATTGTTTAACTAAACACGAATCATTTCTCATAGAATAGATGAATAGAAACAGATGATGATTTTGCATAATAAATGTCTATCATTCCAACTGGGTACACTGTATATGAGCATATCGAAAAAGTATATCATTCAATGTATAGAAAGGGATATAAACTATAGTGTAAAAGTTTAATGAAAGAAAACAACTAAGAAATTGAATGAGATTAAAGAGTCCATGATAAAAATATATAATTCAATGCGAAATATATACAAATAATTCCGCCTGTAGCTCTTCTAAGGTTACTGCTGGTCTCAAGCTCGGATAAAAGAGAGTTGAGAATAAGGTCTGCAACCCTATCTCGTAGAAAACAACCTTGCCAAAAAGATGCTAACCAAAGTAAACAATTTAAACCATTTAAATACCAACGGGAATGAAGAGATACAACTGGACGGTTCTTGGAATCAGTAAAATTCACTGAACCCAAGCTGGACAGAACAAAGTACTCTGGCCACGAAGAAGAAACTGCTTCGCACTAATGCTGTTCAGAGAAGCACGTAAAGCACTTATAGGACGGGAATTTCATGCACCTAGGATCATTAAAGCATCTTTCAAAACAAAGCAGGGGATCACAGTGAATGTTATGCCCCCAAATGCCCTGGTACGGCCGAGAGTGGGGAGAGACCGCTCTCCCTCTCGAAATGCTCTCACATGGCCATGCGTATATAGCCTCTGTCATGGAAGTCCTACTCACTGCCTTCTCGTGGCGGGGGTGTTGTTTACAAAAATGAGAGGACGAAAAGCGAATGTCCGGCGCTTTAACCGGACCCCAAACCAATGGTGCACATGGGCTGGCTCCAGTATCCTGCGGGAACAAATGGCGTATGAACCAATCGTTGGTCACCGGCTACCATGAGACTGCATCTCCTCACGATGCTCCACTGCCTTGTGGGTCAGACGTTCAGGTCGAAGGCTCGGGGTGTGGCCCCCTAAGAAAACCACCTGCTTCGGTTTGGGCACCCGGGCAGTATCACAGCCCTCACACTAATCAGTTGAGATTTGTGTGGCGCATATGTATTTGGTGCCTCCCTGTACCTGTACTTATGTGTTAAAATAATAATAAATAATAATAATACCAACCAATGATAGCAATGACGACGATAAAGATCAGTTTTACGAGATGCTGTAATAGAAGAGCCCAAGAAACGACCGGACCATCCTGATGGAAAATCTAGACGTCAAAGTCGGAATGTTCAACACCGGGTATGAAGATATCATGGGACGACATAGGCCAGAACAAAGGAACGAAAATGGAGACTGATTCGTAATTTTATGTGCATTCAACAAATTGGTTATAGGTGACATAACATTCCCCCACGAACACATACACAAAGCTACATGGGTCTCACCGGATCACACTATAGATTATTAGATCGATCATATTTTCATTACTGAAAAATTCAGGTCAGTGGAAGACGTGATAACTAGGAGAGGAGCTGACGTAGCTTCAGATCACCGCTTGGTTGTGGCCAAGATGAAACTGAAGCTAAAAAGCACTGGACAAACAGCATTACAAAGGTTCAATACAACCCTACTTCAACATACTGACAAACTCAATAAATCCAAGATAGCTCTCAACAACAAGTTCCAAGCCTCACCAGACTTACTGAATGAAGAAGAAACTACTATGGAAGACAAATGGAAAGGGATCAAAGAAGCACTTACTTCAACGTGTCAGGAAGTCCTGGACCTCAATAACCATGATTATAAGGAATAGATCTCTATGGAAATGCTGGACAAGATCCAAGAAAGAAAGAACATGAAGACAGCCATTAACAACAGCTGAACAAGAACAGAGGAAGTCGAGGCACAATCTTAATACACAGAAGGAAACAAGCAAGTGCAGACGAGTATTCGATCCGATAAGCACAAATGCATGGAAGACCTAGCAACGACAGCGGAAAAAGCTGCAAGAGAAGGAAATATGAAACAACTATATGACACGACGAAGAAACTGTCAGGTAAGTATCGTAAACCAGAGAGACCGGTTAATGACCAATTGGCAAGCTAGTCACCGAGATTCAGGATCAGAGGAACAGATGGGCGGAATACTTTGAGAAACTCTTGAATTGGCCAGCTCCGTTGAATCAGCCTCACATCGAAGCAGCACCTACAGACCTTCCTACAAATGTCACTCCACCAACGATCGAAGAAATCAGGATGGCCATCAGGCAAGTAGAGGATGGGAAAGCAGCATGACGTGGCAACATACCAGCTGAAGCACTGAAGTCAACTACGTAAGTAACTACAAAGATGCTCCACGTTCTATTCAGGAAGATTTGGGAGGAAGGACGAGTGTCATTGACAGACTGTAATGAAGGAAACTTCGTCAACGTGTCAAAGAAAGGAGATCCGAGCAAATGTGAGTATTATAGAAGCATCACACTACTGTCAGTACCAGGGAATATTTTCAACAGAGTGTTGCTGAACCGGATTTAAGACTCAGTAGATGCCCAACTTCAAGATCGACAAGCTGGATTCCGTAAGCATCGGTCATGCACAGACTGGATCGCGACACTATGGATCAACGTTGAACAATCAATTGAATGGAACTCGTCACTATACATCAATTCCTTTGACTATGAGTAGGCGTTTGACAGTGTGTATAGAAGAACATTATGGAAAGTTCTTCGACACTATGGTGTGAGTAGCTGAGAAAGTCGTCAACATCATACGGAACTCATACGTCAGACTACACTGCAGTGTGGTGTATGGAGAAGAGATGACAGATGCATTTCAATTGAGGATCGGGATCAGATAGGGCTGCTTACTCTCCCCCTCTTTCCATTTCTTCTGGTGGTTAACTGGATTATGAAGACCTCTGCATTTAAGGAGAAGCACGGAATAAAATGGACAGCTTGGATGAAACTAGACGATTTGGACTTCGCAGATGACCTGACCCTTCTATCCCATACACAAGAACAAATACTGGTCGAGACAAACAATGTAGCAGCAGCCTCTGCATCAGTAGGCCTCAACATACTCAAAGGAAGAAGCAAGTGCCTCAAATTCTGCACAGAATTTACACCAACCCAATCACACTTGATGAAGAACCTGCATAACTTGTGGAATCGTTCATGTACGTGAACAGCATCGTCGACGAACGTGAAGGATCTGATGCAGATGTAAAGGCTAGGATTTGCATAGCAAGGAGAGTATTCCCACAGTTAAAGAACATATGGAACTCAAAACAAGTGTCTGTCAACCAATATCAAAATCAGAACTGAACCTTCGAGAATTAGAAAAAGATTGTCCAGGCAAAGTTGTATGGAGAAAGCTAGTAAGCGGCCAATGCTCCTGTATGAGGAGCAAAAACTGGTTTATTCTCTCACAGAATATATATATATATATATATATATATATATATATATATATATATATATATATATAAACAATTAATTACTGAAGATTGATTCAACAAATCAGTTTAAATAAACATATGGAACTCGAAACAACTGTCCACCAGTATCAATGTCAGAATCTTCAACACGAACGTCAAGACAATTCTACAGTACGTAGCTGAAACGTGGAGAACGACCACAACTGTCATCAAAATAATCATTCAGTCAGTAACAACCTGGAACTTCGTACGTACGTACATCAGCTCGAGTTGTCATACCACATTAGCACAGAGATTCAGTTATCGATTCAAATCCCGTTGTGGTTGAGGTAGTGAAATATTAAGTAGTGATAGGAAACATTAGGGTTTGATGATGTTATTTAAGGAGTATAATCCAGTGAAATAGATTTGGAAAGAAAATAAAGGACATGAAGAATTCAGAAGATTAGAGTTTGGGAGAACACAAAGAGTGGATGCACCTGCGCCATTACAAACGATATTGAGCCATGTCATTCAATGTCTCTAACCATCGGTTGCTATCATCTCGCGGATCCAAATCAGTTGATCTACACCTACCAACATGGCTCAGTCCACGTGTCAATGACTTCATGGATTTGTGTTATGTTTTGTTCTAACCGCCCCTAGTTCTCTTCCAACCCACTCCTACACCATAAAACATCGCACGTTGGGGCAGTCGGTGGTTGGGCATACGTGACACATGTCCCGGCCATCTCAACTGATTAGGTTTCACTACTTCATCAATTGATTTGCCATCCATATCCAGTACCCGTTTTCTAACAACTGAGTTACTTACTCGGTCGTCCGAGGATATACGAGCAATGTTTCGAAGACATCTATGGTCGAATACTAGTAGCATACGAATATCCTCTACTCTTGCCGGCTATGTTTCACTGCCATAAAGTAGGACGGAACGAACTGCTGCTTAATAAACTCGTCCTTTGGTTGATAGACGAATATCTCACCTGCGTCATAAATGAGGTAAGTTGGCAAAAGCTAGTCGAGCCTCCTGTATCCGTGCTGAGATTTCATCACACACCAGACCACAAGGGCTGATGAGACTTCCAAGATAAGTGAATCGGTCGACACGTTCAACTACTTCACTCCCTATCACTAGTTCGAGTGTCGATGCCACCCAATCCTGAAGCAACATTTTGCATTTCGAGGGAGAGAATCGCATGCCGAACATGCTTGCATTGTTGCTTAGCGTGGTCAGCAGACTCTGCATTTTGTCAGCGTCTTCACCAAATAGAACTATGTCATTGGCATACTCTAAGTCAACAAGTGAATTTCCCGGTAGAAGTTGAACCCCTGGGAAGTCAGATGTGGAAAGTGTTATCTCTGAAAGCACGTGAGTGACAAAGTTAAACAAGAATGGAGAGAGTGGACAGCCCTGACGAACACCACTTGAGGTAATCAGTTCTGATGACAGTTTGCCATAAGCTCTTTCCAGGCCAGTTGTGTTCGAGTAGAGAGCTTTTATAAGGTTAATGTACTTCTCTGGTACTCCTTTCAGTGACAAACACTGCCATAGAACCTCACGACCAACAGAGTCGAGTGCCACCTTAAGGTCGAGAAATACGGCTATTGTGGGGTGTCTGAATGTGTGTCTATGTTCTAGGACCTGACATGGTGTGAATATTTGTCCTATACAACCACGTCCAGGTCGAAAACCAGCCTGGTTTTCTCTAGTCTGCTCTTCACGAGCTTTGGTTAGGCGTCGAAGTAATATTGAGGCTAATATTTTAGACACTATATTAGTCAAACTAATTCCTCTGTGATTGTCACAAGAGGACTTTTGTCCTTTTTTATAGACTGGTACAATCAGTGATTGAGACCAGTCAGATGGGATTACGTCCAGTTCCCAGATTCTACCTAAGACCTCAGTCAATCTCGCTGCTAATACTGGACCACCATCCTTAAAAATTTCAGGGGTAAACCTGTCAGAGCCTGCTGCTCTCCCACGCTTCAGATTTCCTATAGCTTTTTCAACTTCGTAAAGAGTTGGAGGACTTACATCAACTTGCCATTCAGGTAGACTGGAGATCGTGGGAAACGGAAGTGTGGCTGAAGGCCAGTTGAACTGATTCCTAAAGTGTTCTGCCCGTCGATCCAATCTCCTGGATTGAGAATGAATAATATGTCCATCTTTTTCGGAGATAGTTTCGCTAACAGTTGGGTTCCTAATACCGGTTTCCTTAACAAGTCTGAATAATTGCCTGCTGTTACCTATTGCTGCTGCCTTTTCCATCTCTTGCTTTCGCTACCCACCACTGTTCACGATCATTGCGTAGGCTTCTAGTCAGTTTACGCTTAAGCTGACTCCGCTCTTCGTTGTGTTTAGTGCCAGATGGAATGAGTTTTCGAGCATCTATCAGTGTGGTAGACGCTGCTGAGATCCAGTGTTTCTCCCTAACCTTATGGTTTACCGTACTTGCAGACATCACTGCTGTTTCTACAGCTTTTCGAATGTCATTCCATGCCGCCTCGGGGTGGGAATCACTTACATGGCTGCCTAACTGTTTTTCTAGTTGTTCCTGAAATATACTCTTAGCTTGATTATCATTAAGTAGGACCCTAAGGGGTTTCGTTGCACCCTCTTTCCTACGCTCGCACTAGAGCATGATCTGAGTCTAAGCATGTGCTCCAGAATGAGCGACAGTCTTCTATCGAGTCCCTCCATCGGTGGCTGATAGCGATGTGATCTATTTGGGTCCAGCGTTGAGACGAATTAGGGGGTCGCCATGTCAAAAGCTGTTTTTCCTTATGCTTAAAGTTAGTGTTTGCAAGAAACGGGCGGTTATTTGAGCATAGCTGCAACAGACGGTCGCCATTATCTGTTCTTTGAGCCGCGACACCATAAGATCCACCCAGGTGTCATTCCCTTTCGCTTAGTTTACCTAGTTGAGCATTAAAGTCACCAGCCACTATTACTACATCAGAGCGCCTAGCTTTTCGGAGAAGGTCGGAAAGCTTCCTGTAAAACTCATCTTTTACATTATCTGAGCTGCAGTTAGTGGGAGAGTAGGCAGAGACGATGAATAGGCAACTACGAGTGTCCCTATCTTTCTGAGTCCTTACTGTTCCGTTTAGTCGGACAGCGCATAAGCGACTGTCTACTGGGATCCAGTCTAAGAGAGCTAGTTCTGCCCTAGGACTCAATGCTATACCTACGCCGGCGAGGCCACGGGAAGCAGCATCAGGACTTCCAGATACACGAAGCGTAAATCGGGTTGTTTCGTTACTTTGACATGGCGAGGTCAAGTGAATGGCACTACTCGGATCCTGTATGCGCGTTCCGGAAACGCAGCACACATCGATGGAGCGAGATTCTAAAGTCCTAGCTAAGGAAGCCTGTTGTCCTATTTGGCACAGTGTTCGGACGTTGAAAGCTCCTACGTGTAGTTTAGAGCGTGGTTTCAGGAGACCAGGAGTAACGTTCCGCGTACTCGAATCGTTTGCACTAGCAGTGCGAGGTGGTAAAGGGACGTGAGAAGGGTTAGTCGTGGAGATGAGCGAGTTATTAGGAGATGTAGGAAAGATTTGAATGTGACCAACTTGGTCTCGTGTGCCGTTACAGGTATGAGGGTTGATGTCACTTTCCGGCTGCCCACACCGTGAAAGGGTATTTCTTGAGGAACCTGAAAAGGAAATCGGATTAGTGTTGGTCTTGAAGATCTGAGAGCGTGAGCGCAGAGCCCAAGAGACAACTGCTTGAGCCCGGTCGCGCAGGGCCTTTTTGTGGGAGGTTTTTAATGTGTTAGCTCCGTTCTTCAAGGGGCTTTACCGCCGGAGACGGGAATCCGTTGGGTAAGGTGAGGTGTGACATTTTTAGGGTCAACCTTTCCTAACCCCTTCCTTCTTCGTGAGAAGGCAGCATCGATGCAGATGCTGGTTGTCGGAGGGAAATACCTTACTGCTGTCATACCTCTGTACAGTGAGCAGTAAGACTTCGCCCTTAAACTTTGAGTTGCTGCTTTTATTCCTATTGTTCTCCAATCGACCTGCCTGGCATGGTAGAACCTGCAGAAACATATGTTCCAGCCAATATAGCTCGGTTGGGTCATCACGATAGGAAAGCTCGACCATCACATCAAGGTAGCAGCTACCGTCGGGTATTTATAAATAATTATCTACGCTAGATACTGAATGTGTGTTGTTCGGACACCATCAGTATTAGTCTACTGTTGGAGAGAATAAGTCAGCGTGCAACCGAAGAGAAAATTAGGAAAAGATGTTGGAACTGGATGAGACATACATTTCGAAAATCATCCGACAGAATCATGAGGCAAGCGCTAATTTGGAATACTGAATGGGAACGGAAAAGATGAAGTCGAGCGAACACACTGCTCCAAAGCAGATGGTTTTCTTAGGGACCAGTCCCGAAGCCTTCGACCTAAAGGTCTAGTCGACAAGACAATGCAGCAACCTCAGGATATGCAGTCCCTTGGTAGAAGGTGATTGATAATTGGTTCAGGCTCCATTTGTTCATTCAGGATCCTGTAGCCCATGTGAACCGTTGGTTTGGAATCAGAGTTCTTTAACTCCCCTAAGTAGATTCTTCGTGTCTGCCAACCCGATTATGGTCCGAAAATTCGCTTTTCATCATCTCAGTCTGCTAAACAACGCAGTCACCACGAAAAGTCTGTGAGTAGGACATACTTGGCGTTGGCTGTATACACGTGACCATGTGAGGTCATTTTGAGAGGGAGAGCTGACTTTCCCCACCCTTGGCCGTACCAAGGCATTTGGGGGACCACATGAAGACGATAAATAGCAACTGGAAAGGATTCTCCAGGACAGAGTTGGATAGAGAATGCTATTGAGTGTACTATGCTCATCTATGAGGGGTAACAGGCGTAAGTATATATATATATATATATATACGCGAAACCTTGTCAGCCAATATATGGAGGACTTTATAAAATTAGGCAATGATTACCTTAGCATTAAGTGTGTATTCATAACGAATTTGAATATGAGCATGGTTAATGGATAGCGTTTATAACTAACATTCGATATAAATACAAGAAAGTCTCTGACAAGTGTCCTAGTAAACAATTATCATTAGTTGGATTTCTGTTACAGTAATAGACAATGTATAAAGACCTCTCGTTAAAGGTAGCTAGATCTCTCAAAAAATAATGTGGAAATTTTTCAGTTAATATCGGTTTTTTTCGTAACCTGGTGAACGGTAAATTATGTTTTATAAATTTTAGTGGGTCTACTTACCCAGTTTCAGCAATATGTGTTCTGACTACTTATTAATTTAAAGTAGTGTATATTTTCACATTACATTATTATGAATTGAAACCATTTAGGACCATATCCTCTCAGAAGTTCCAAGACTATTGCATGAAGAAGATACAAACCAGCTAAGATTGTGCTACGAATTAGTTAATCGAGTTCCACAAGAAATTGACCGCTTATTAGTACTTCTGGAGGAATATATTCGACAAACAGGCTTGAAGGATATACGCACTAATGCAGAGATTATGCTTAAAGTTAGTTAACTTCTCATGCTAGAATACATTTCTTTGTCATTTAAAATTTGTGGTATATATGTCACTTAAATTTAGTAAATGAATATGTATTTTAACTGAGGTATTTTCTTTTTACCAGGTAGTTTGTTTACCTACATAACATATTGTTTTTATGTGGTTTATTCTGTTTATATTCATTACAATTTCCTATGGAGGTTTTTAGTTTTTCCTAGTTGGATAGCGAGACGTGTCAATATGTAATAATGTGTATATTATCTAATTCAGATTGAAGACTGTAATACCTTTTGAAAATAGTTTCTCCTTACTACAATTTTCTTGACTTGGATTTCAATTATTAGATTTTAAATATCTTTTGTAGTTCAGATATTCTCAATCAAATATCCTTTTTTGTGGCTTCATGATCAGTAAAATTCAAAATGTATCAGTTAACTATTCTAATCAACAATTTTTTAGTTACAAATTCAAATAAGTATTGCTTTTTGGCTAACATAAATATGCCCCCGTATGCCCTGGTACGGCCGAGAGTGGGGAGAGTCCGCTCTCCCTCTCGAACTTCTCTCACATGGCCACGCGTATATAGCCTCTGTCATGGAAGTCCTACTCACTGCCTTCTCGTGGCGGGGGTGTTGTTCACGAAAATGAGGGGACGAAACGCGAATATCCGGCGCTTTAACCGGATCCCAAACCAATGGTGCACATGGGCTGGCTCCAGTATCCTGCGGGAAGAAATGGCGTATGAACCAATCGTTGGTCACCGGCTACCATGGGACTGCATCTCCTCACGATGCTCCACTGCCTTGTGGGTCAGACGTTCAGGTCGAAGGCTCGGGGTGTGGCCCCCTAAGAAAACCACCTGCTTCGGGTTGGGCACCCGGGCAGTATCACAGCCATCACACATATCAGTTGAGATTTGTGTGGCGCATATGTATTTGGTGCATCCTTGTACCAATATCTATGTATTAAAATAAATGTACATAAATATAGTCATCTAACATCAGGTCGGTTTTTTATTCAAATTCTCTTAACTATCGTTGTGACATATTTGATGTATGGTTAATTCTGGAATCCAGGACGCGTATTTCGTCCGATTTTGGGCTCGTCATCTAAGTGTACCCACATCTCTATGTTCATGTTCATGCTAAATAAGTGTAACTGTGATAATTAATATTTGATGTGAGTACTAGGTGACAGCATGCGAAACTCTCTTATATGTATTGTAGTAAGCAACATTGATCAATGCAATTCATCAGTTTGATACCTCTTTTGCTGATGGATAAATGACAATGCCGGTTCAATTCGCCTAGTATGTACTTGTATATCTAGCGACTGACTATAAAAAATTAATCCATACAAATAATAATCAGATTGTAGGTCATTGGTTTGTGCGTCTAGTTTGTGAAATAAGGATTCAAACTAAGCGGGATATGTTGAAACGGAGTTCTAATAACCAATAAATATTCTTAATCAAGTTATGCAGTTTTGTTTATTGTTGCCAAGTGACTAGATCTTTCTGAGGTCGATTTCCAGTTAAAATTCAATGTGTGTTTTATGAAAGCATTATAATTCCTCATGTGCACAATATTTATGACATATCACCTACTACACGAACTTATTTGTTGTTCGTTCAATCACTCAAAATGAATTCATCATGAATTTCACGTTTCATAAGGAGACTAGTGATTATAAATCATAGGAGTAGTTACAACTGTTGTTTAACCTCCGCTCAACTAAGTAGGAAAACCGTTTAGCTTATCTGAAAATGAAATTAGCTTTAGTGAAGATGTGTGTAACTGAAACTCTTCACAATAGTGAATGGTTGACATATTTAAAAGTATAAGTTTTTGGTTAAATCAAGTTGTGACATAACATCTTTGCTGTATATTAACTGTGGCAGACATGGTATAGCAGAACTATTAGTATCTACTTTTGTGTGTATGAATTCTAGTGTACCTTCGTTTCATTCTACCAGAAAATATCTAAGAAGAGAAATTTAGATGAAGTGTTTAATTTTTATCAGATAAAATAACACTTGTCAGTTGTTTGCATGATTTTGAAATATCTATCTACAATCATATGCATAATAATGACATCAATAGATTCATTATACACGCACTAATAATTACCTTCAGCACTCTTCAACTTAATGAAGTTTTTTCCCAAAAAGTTCAAGAAAGAATAATGGAAAACAGAGGATACTAGGTTATATGTAGAGGATTCATATGTAATGAAAGTACGTGTCGAGTTTGTCAGTGCTAAAAGCACTCACTATCTTTACATTAAATATAAGCCCGACGGGGAAATCTCTTCAAATGTTTCGAAATATGAGTAATATCATATGGTAAAACTTATATCCAGATTATTAAATGTGATATTTAGTTTGTTATTTTTCAACATTTCAGACATCTTCATAGAATATACTCAAAAATAAAGAATATTGATTGCTTCCAGTAACTTCATCAGGTTCAGTTAGTTCATAATTATTCTGTTGTTGTATTAGAAAGGTCAAAATATGACATACATCAGTGAAATAAATGATGTTATGTTTTAAAAAAGGTGAAAGTTCATTTACAAAAGGTTAGGATGATACATCGTAAGGTGTCAAGTTATAATCGATATAATTATAAAATAAATCATGTGAATAAAGTGTATCATAGGTGGATTTGTTCTGATTAATGTAAATAATAATAACGATAACGTCGTGTGATTATACTTCATAATAAGTGAGGTGTTTCCAAGGTAATTATGATTAAAAATCTTTTTGAATTGGGAAAGATAGATGTGTAAACTAAGAATGGAACAGAGCAAATATAAACGTGGGTAAAAAGGCCTTACAGTGTCCAATTTAGGCATATGATAATCCGGTTGTAAACACAGAGAGTGAATACACTTCTTTTGGGTATATTAGATCTTCAGAGTTTATCCTGATGTCCAGTTAGTACAGAGAAGTGATATTCCTAACTTAATACAAAACAGATGAAGTTTCATCTATCTTATTATAACGTTCACTATCTGTCAATCCCGAAAGCGTGGCGTTGCGGATAGATTTTGGGACACCCTCCCCTAACCATACCGGCATATGTTCACGACTACAGCTTGCGTAACTAGCTGTACATGAGTAGTTCATTCGGTATACCCACATTTTTCTGAAACGTAACTTTGTCTAATTGAGTGGCATGCCTTATTTTGGTCCGACGACGAAGTTATTGAGAACAATTTATCGCTCCAATATTCTTTGTTTATTTTCCAATTTCAAATACTGGTATTCTGTAAACCGAGTTCCTTACTAAAAGTACGGTTTATTTTTACAAATTGTGTGTATAGGGGGCGAGACTATAATTTATGGACGAACCAATCACGTATAATATAACAAGCTTCGGATTTTGGCACAAAATTCACTCATCCATTTGTCTAAATATAGTTTTGGCATTATAACTGATGTCAGTTCGTGATGATAACCCTAAATCTAATTTCTAACCTTAATCATCAACTGTAAATCATAATTTTAATTCTTCATGCTGGTTCATAACGCTTATTTGGTTTTGGTTATTAGGTGGACACTCAAAGGGTCAGTTTAGCGTCACTGAAAAGTCTTCCATAAATTATAGTCTCAACGTATAGCGTTGTGAAGATTGCTGAATTTAATTAAAATCTTAAACCTATCTAAGTTGGAAGGCTGCGGGAGATCGAAGATTCTGGGTTTGATTCCCACGTGGATGCTCACTGCTCGGAAGTCTTGTACTAGCTCAAAATGGCCGTCCAGTGCTTCCAGGTTTTCAATGGCAGTTTAACCTAGGTCGGTTCACGACTTTAATCAAATGTCATAACTTGTTTTTTACGCTTTTCTGATGATTTCGTTTCTTCTCTTTCACGTTTAGGATGCAGATAAATATGTATGCCGTTTGTTAAATTTATACGTTCGTTTTTCACGTATGGTCAATGATGCGTTCAATAATGATCCACATTTTCTAACTGCGCGTGACAAAGCTTATCAAGACATTGTAAATAATACATCAGTTTTTGTGACTGAAATTCCAACTTCTGTTTGGTAAGCTCTTCAATGGTAACAAATAATTAATAATATATCTTTTCCTATAGAGTAATAATAGTTGTTAATATTTATCATAAATACTAATTTGAAGTGATCAATTCTTATGTCAATAGTTAAGTACTCACTTAAAAACATATTGATATAATAGCAGAATTTGTTTTTACACGGTCAAACTCATAAGTTATTTTTTAAAATATGTAACTAGCAGTTTCACTTCAAACTGATTACCATATTACTTGTTTACATAATATGCTAAAGTTTTGTGCAATTTGAACCAGGTCAGTCCAAACGTCATAGAGTAGTAGCAGGACATACATCAACATTGTAAGATGGAATTCAAAAGGTGATAAACAGGGAAGTGAAATTAATGGTAGTTCCTATAATGTAAGTAGTATGATTCGAAAAGAAGTAATGAATTCGTAGACTGAAATGTATGATATCCTTTTAAAGCTTACAATTTAGAAGTTAAAACTGAATACCTTTATATCACTGTGACCGATTTTTGAACCAATTCAACTTTTAAAGATCTCCAGTCGTTTATTATGATTACTACATGAATTAAAACCGAAACATTTCATTAACAAAACTGTACTTCATGTTCACAGTTTATTAAAATTAATGATTTGCACAAGATATTGGCTTGACTGATTTAAAAAGGTAGTTATAATAGTCACTATTTCAATAAATGCAACTTTAAACAAAAGCATTTCTTTATTAATACTCATTAGTACTGGTTTATAGCGATACAATTTCCTCATTATCGGTTTATTGTCATTTTAAAATGATGTATATTAACATTTTCTACACCATTTGTTAGTGACAATCAATGAAAAAAATGGCTTTTTCTTACGGATTAAGCAATTTCGGATTGTGAGAAATAATATATCAGAGTGTTATTTTGAACTATTGTATATTGATACTATTGTATTGGTCAATTACAGTTAATACATCTGCAAGTTTGTTACATATTAGTTTAATTAAACCATAACAAATAGCAGTACATTAAATTGTTTATCGCTTTGAATACAAAACTAGCATCACATTAAAATAAATAAAAAGAGAGTTTTATCTTTTTAAGCTAAGATTTTATTAAAACAAAATGGAAAAAACGCTAACGGTTGTGCACTTAAAATTTTTTTCACTTGACCTTAAATATTATGATAACACCGGAGATCTGAGTATCATAGCTACTAATATAAATATATATAAATATAATAACCGGTTTGGTGGATACGGATGTTCCATCTAGGTGAGTTGGGAAATCCTGATTCCAAACAAATAGTGCACATGGGCCCTAGGATCCTCAGAGAACAAATGACGTATGAGCCTATTGTTGGTCAGCCACCATATGGGGCTGCAACTCGCAACGTCACTCCACTGCATTGCAGATTAGACATCTGAGTCAAAGACTTAAGGATCGGCCCCCTGAGTAAACCACCTGCTTCGGCCTGGGCACCCGGAGACTATCTCAACCCTCATACAAAATCAACGATATTTTGGTGCCCTTTTTGTATCGATGTTTATGTGTTCAAATAATAGTAACAATAATACTTTTTAAAATAACAAATCAAAACGAATTTTGTCAAACGGTAACCACAAGTTTTTCAGGTAATTTGTTGATCCTTAATTACTTACGTGTTTTGATAGAGTTAAAATACAGTTATCGTAGCATAATTTTTTTAAAAGTTGAACGTTTACAGTAAAATTAACAAATATTAAAAAAAAATCCAAATTTACTTTTTTTTAAACACCACGCCTGTATATCATTGTCTATTCTTGTTTTTTTGAATTAATTTTTCAGTAGCGGTATTTCACGTGTGGAATCTCGTTGTCCTGAATTGTTAGCGTCTTATTGTGATATGTTACTTCGCAAGTCACCAACTAATCGTCGTTTAACAACTGATGAAATCGAACAAAAATTACGCAATGTTTTATTAGTATTAAAATATGTCAATAGTAAAGATATTTTCATGCGTGTTCATAAATCTCATCTCACTCGACGATTAATTCTAGAAACATCAGCTGATAATGAAATGGAAGAATTGATGGCTGGACGTTTACGAGTATGTTTATACAAACCAAACTGTTGTCATTTTTTGATGTTACTTAATTGAGATTTTTATTGATCTCAGTTGGTTATGTTGGTTTTTGAGTGTTGTTAGAGGTATAAGTTCAGTTATCACTTCCCAGTGGCACACACTATCGAAGGGTTCTTCTGGAGGCACTTGAATAGGAAATTGGGTTAGAGGTGGTCTTAGTGACCTGAGAGTGTGACCGCAGTGCCCGAGGGAGAACTGCTTGGGGTCAGTCACACACGGTCTTTTTGGGAATAATTTTCGTGTTAGCTCCGTACTTGTTGATACCTTACCGCTAGAGACAGATATCGTGGGATAAGTTGAGGTGTGCATTTTTAGGGTCGACCTTTTCTAACCCCAACCTCTTTTTGTAGGAAGGCAGCATCTCTGTTACGCTGGTTGTCTGATGGGAACATCTTACTGCCGTCACACTTCTGTAAAGTCGACAGTACGACTTCGTCCTCGGATATCGGGTTTGTTGCTTTTATTTTTTCCGTTTTTCAACCTTGAGGAACGATTGTTCCAGCCAGTATAGCCTAGTTGGTTTATCACGATACGCAAACCTAACTACCACTTCAATTTAGCAGCAACAGTCGGGGTTCATATGGTTACCCAAAATCACTTGATCAATTATTGCGTGTAGGACCTGTTATGAGTCCGCAACTATTCCTTGAGAGTCTTTAGAAGCCTAGAAAATATCTGAAGACGTTTTATCCAGTTAGCATTGAATAGAAGCTTCTCAGAAACATCTGGAAAAATGAAGTAGTATATATCACGTTTTGATTGTATTTGCTTTCATAATTGGTGTGTTTCCAGTAGTTTAGAAGATCATAATAACCTAAAAACCCTGGATTACACTCGCTTTTATGTATAAGAGATTAACTTTGGAGTAATGCTCTTGCTCCAGACTTTGAACTTTGTCTGTATTGCTCGAATTCATGCTTAGAATTGGTCAGGATCAGGTTAGAAACTCAGTAATTAATATTCAAGCAGCAGACTCATTAACGTCATTTCCTAAGCTTAGTAACCTAATATCATTGTACCTCTGTATTCGATAGTTGGAGACAATAAGAAGAATTTTCCAATTAATCAAGGCGTCTGAGTTGTTGATTTGGTTTCAGTTTGAAGTCTTATTTGTTTAACGTCATAGAATAATCATGATACTATTTGGCTTTTCTGTATTTTATCTAATCTTTCTAAAAATATATCCCAATTAACGTTCTTGTAAAAAGGTAACCACAAACCACTCAATAACTTGTGTTGACAAGTCGTATGTTAACGAAAATGGCTTCCTTTTGGGTTTACAACTACTCCTTACTGTTGATCATTATGATTTATGGAATTCAGGTCATCTAGAAATTTGTTTTGACGATTGATTGATACCTTCCGGTTACATTGTGTTTGTATAATTTTTTATTGACTAAAATGGTAGAAAAGAAAAGAAATAATTTCATTAATAAGTTAAAATCTACCCGATATTATATAATCTTGTTCAGAGACTACTTATCGAGCCAGTTGATCAGTCATGAAAGTGATATCCACCCTGGGTTATCTTGACATGATGTCTAAATAACTGTAAAAATGGCAATGATATCTATCTGTAACGTAAAACGAGAGGGTTGAGAAAAATTTGTTTATTTCAGAAGCGTCTACGGAACTGTTAGATGCTTGAAAACTTATCATGTCAGGCTACGAACACAATGAAAAACGGAGGCAACTTAAACGTAGACTAACAAAAAGCCCATGCAATAATCGTTGGCAGTAGAGGATAGCGAAGCCAAAGGAGATGGGGAAGGCAGTTGTAATAATTAACAGTATACAACTATTCATATTTATCAGAGAAACATATATCAAAAATAAGGCTTTTAGTGAGACTATCTCGAAAAATGCTGGGTTTGTTATTCATTCCCAATCAAGGAGATTGGACCGATGGACAAATCTTCAGGGGACAGTTCAGCCAGCCTTCAGTTACCTCCCAGTCACTATCTCCAAGTAACCTAAATCGCAAATTGACATAGGTCCTCTAAATTATAGGGAGATTGAAATGGCCTATAGGCAATCTGTTGCAAGAGAGGATAGTGAGGCCTGGTGGATTACTCCTGACGTTTTTAAGAATGTTGGTCCAGGATTAGCAGTTAGATTGGGTGAAATCTTAGCTAGGGTCTGATAACCGAACTGATCTCAGTCGCACATCGTTCCGATCTTGATAACTTTATCTCGCCGTGTTATGCGGAATTGCAACTTGAATCGATACACATTCTCATGAGATTCTACACTGCATATCAGTCAGCAACAACGTAGAACTTAGTACGTATGTAGATCAGTTCAAGTTACCACAATAGCACAGAGATGCAGTTGTCTATTCAAATCCCATAATAATAGAGGTGGTAAAAGTATAAACAGTAATCGGAAAGATTAGGGTTCGAAGATGATATTCAAGGAGTGAAATAAATTTGTAAGAGAAAAAGAAAAGGGACATGAAGGACTTTGAAGATTAGGATTTGAGAGAACACAAAGAGTGGATGCACCTGCGCCATTACAAACGATATTGAGCCATGTCATTCAATGTCTCTAACCATCGGTTGCTATCATCTCGCGGATCCAAATCAGTTGATCTACACCTACCAACATGGCTCAGTCCACGTGTCAATGACTTCATGGATCTGTGTTATGTTTTGTTCTAACCGCCCCTAGTTCTCTTCCAACCCACTCCTACACCATAAAACATCGCACGTTGGGGCAGTCGGTGGTTGGGCATACGTGACACATGTCCCGGCCATCTCAACTGATTAGGTTTCACTACTTCATCAATTGATTTGCCATCCTTATCCAGTACCCGTTTTCTAACAACTGAGTTACTTACTCGGTCGTCCGAGGATATACGAGCAATGTTTCGAAGACATCTATGGTCGAATACTAGTAGCCTACGAATATCCTCTACTCTTGCCGGCTATGTTTCACTGCCATAAAGTAGGACGGAACGAACTGCTGCTTAATAAACTCGTCCTTTGGTTGATAGACGAATATTTCACCTGCGTCATAAATGAGGTAAGTTGGCAAAAGCTAGTCGAGCCTCCTGTATCCGTGCTGAGATTTCATCACACACCAGACCACAAGGGCTGATGAGACTTCCAAGATGAGTGAATCGGTCGACACGTTCAACTACTTCACTCCCTATCACTAGTTCGAGTGTCGATGCCACCCAATCCTGAAGCAACATTTTGCATTTCGAGGGAGAGAATCGCATGCCGAACATGCTTGCATTGTTGCTTAGCGTGGTCAGCAGACTCTGCATTTTGTCAGCGTCTTCACCAAATAGAACTATGTCATTGGCATATTCTAAGTCAACAAGTGAATTTCCCGGTAGAAGTTGAACCCCTGGGAAGTCAGATGTGGAAAGTGTTATCTCTGAAAGCACGTGAGTGACAAAGTTAAACAAGAATGGAGAGAGTGGACAACCCTGACGAACACCACTTGAGGTAATCAGTTCTGATGACAGTTTGCCATAAGCTCTTTTCAGGCCAGTTGTGTTCGAGTACAGAGCACTGCATGTGACTGATGACTAATTGAATCCTTCAGAAGTAAACAAGAAATGTACGAATAGCTGAAAACTTCTAAGTGTTGTGTAAGACTTATGATTTTATTATATACTTGTTGATTCTATAACTTTTGTTTACGTGAACGAAACTAGGTTCGTACCGGGTTTCAATATTCATTTATGATATCACTGTATCATTAATTCAATTTCACTTCTCTTGCTTAATTCTTTTTGTGAAGCTTGTTATAAAAATTTGGGGGCGTGTCCACTAAGTTATATATTCTATTTTTACAATGTGAATGTTTATTAACATGAAATTATCTATTTATATAAAATCTTCCGCACAAAATAACTGGACTTATTCAATATTAAATTTTTTATTCAGTTGCTTAATTCGTGTTATATTTCACGATTACTGAATCAATAATTCACTGTTTACTTGAAAGTATCTAACTATGCATAATATTAATAATAATATCATCCATTCTAGGAAATGAAACTATCAGTTCTTGAACTTTCTTGTAATTATTTTACATTTCTTCAATTTGTTCTTTTAAATATTTAGTTAAATGACATTCCTTACTTTATTTTCTTCAATTTAATTTTTTCCTTTTGTATAATAAATTTTCCGTGTTGTGGTGTTCAATGAAGTTAATATAATTTAATCTTCTTTACTTCTCATCTGATTGTTAATTTCGTATATTACTCTACTAACGATGTAAATTATAGTAACTTGGACGACGATTGACTGTTATCATGGATATTTGAATAATATCTTAGGAGTATATTTCTTTCAATTCCTTAAATTTGAATAATGAATCACTTACAAAATTAAGTTATGAATACTGAAAGGATAGAATTTAGTTTGTGAGTTGTTTAATTGTAAGTTATCTTTCTCTCTTTCTGTGTGTGTTAAGTTACTTTAAAGTTACTGACTCTAATTATTTTTACAAAAAAAATTGTATTTTCAGGAAGTTGGAATGCCAGCTGAACAGATTAATAAACTTGGTCGGATGTTTCAGGACATTAAAATATCACATGACCTTACTTCTGAATTCAAAGAAAAATATAAAATATCTCCACAGTGTTCTACATCATACATATCGAATAATACACCATCGTTAAATTTAGACATCATAACAATTAAAATATTGAGCGGTGGTGCATGGCTTTTACGTCCTCAACCACAATCATCTATTTCATTGCCAGCGGAGTTAGAAGATTTCCTTCCTCAGGTAAGGTTACTTTTGGTAATGTTAAAGTTACATGCAACATACATATATGTGTATTTATAAAACCTGACCGTAATTTATATTGATCTCAATTTTCACTTAAAATATAATTCTATATTTGCAGGAAAGTGTTATAACTCATAGAAATTCATTCAAATTACCATCACTTTCAACTCATCCACACATTTCATTATATAAATTTAGAAATAGGTATCATTATCATGGTTGGACTTGATAATTTTAACTAAATTGAGCATTAGGTAGATTGTTGTAAATAAATAATACATTTTTGTAATATCCAAATGAGTGGAAAAATTAAGTTTTTAATTTTGTTGACGTTTCCTGACACAGTGTAAGCCACTTCTTCGGAAAATAAATCACCAAGTTAAATTAATCCAAGTTTAAATAGTACAAAATGTAGAAATATTTAATGAGGAAGATTATGTTTATATAAATTTCAGCGATTAAACGTTTCACTCGGCAGTCTAGTTTAAGCTTTTTCATGAAAACATAATGAAACATCAAAATTATCAAACAGGTTATCCAATCATGTTGACAATGTTGAAAATAAGGTTTGGTTCAGTGAGTATAAGAAATTTAATGTGAGTCCGAAGTTGGACGAAACGCGCGTCCTGTCACCATCCGTCTTTGATTATAATACTTGTGACTTAAGGTAATATCAAGTCAATCCGCAGAAGAAGCACATACGGGAATAACAGACTAATCAGTCACACTCCTAAACATGAATGGGATGATTCAAACAACTATTACAAAATAAATTTGACATGAAAAGTTCAGAAAAGTATGTTAAGATATCAGTTTATATGCATGTGTAAGTGGATCTGAGGTGAGAGAAAAAAAATCCTTTAACTATTTTTGATGAAATCAGATAGTTTTCATAGATGACATAAGTTAAACATGTCAAATAATGCATAAATTCAAGATAAATAAACAAGAAAAGAAAATTTTGGCGTCATTATCTTGATCAAATTCATTGGTCATCATCTTTTCAGGTAAACCAACTGATTAAAACAAATGAAAATGATCGTTGTTTTCCACATAACAGGTGATAAATTAAATGGAATAAAGAGCTCAGGTTGACTGATTCATTATTTGTTACCATGAGACAGCTAACTTTATTCCCTCTCATCTATTAGTACTGTTTGAATTTGTCCATATATGTAGGGCTTCTGCTGTTATTATTATTATTATTCTTTTTAATATGGACTAAAACCTTTTTACGTGATCCTTTTTATATTGAAATTGATTATATTTTCAGATTCAATTGAGTTTAAAGCTATTGCTGGTTTTTTTTTTGAGGGGTCTTCTGAGGATTTAGGGATATGTTTCAATGGAATGATTTATTCTTTAATTATCCCGCATATCCTCATGATTTTATTCATAATTGCTTCATTTAACCTTTCTATTACCTTTAATTATTGTAATAAAAATGGTAATTATCTTATTTCATTTACATTACAATGTATTGTTAACTTATTAATTTTACAAGGCGCCGTCTATATGCACACATACAATCTTTTATTGTTACCATTAATATTATATAATCGAGTATTATAATCTTTCTGTAACTTCACTATGTTTATATATCCACACGAAATTAATAGTTAAAATCGTATTCTTTATTTCTGTCTAGTTTTATTTATTGTTACCTACTTAACATTATTAAGGACTTAATGTTACTCCTCCTCACATCATACAATTTTACAATCTAAAATGTTAGCAGTGATTTATACCAACTATAACTGTGATCACCTTATAAGACGTTGATGAATATGTAACATATCAGTATTAATTATCAATTAAAAATATAATATTTTCACTATGTAATAGATACCGCCTGTAGCTCTTCTAGGGTTACTGCCAATCCCAAATCCGTATAAGGGAGGAGGGTTGAGCATGCAGTCAGCAATTCCGTCCTGTAGAAAACAACTTTGCGATAATAGTTGAATGAGTCAATTAAAGCTAGACCACCCTGGAAGTACTGGATGTCCATCCCGTCCTAGTATAGGACTCCTCCGCAGTGCACATACTAGGACGAAACGGCCATTCTGTGCTTTCAGGTTTTTCATGGTGGTCTAGCGTCAAGTGAATCATAAATTCAGTTATCAAATTACTAAAATTTCCACAAAGCCCTCCTTCTGATAAATTTGTTATAAGAAAAACGCTAACTAGAATAAACACTTTAAGTGACAAATGGAATGCTGTAAATGCATTTTATATCTCTTTCAAACTTACTAAATATGGATACATATTAGTGTTTTGGTAATAATCGTATCCAACATCCATTACTATTGTTTACTTTGAATATTTATAATTAAATATTAATTACCAAGATATTATCAGATAATTATATTTGTCTGAAAACTTTCTCCATAATTTGTAATTTTTTTTACAGGTACTATGTTTATTATTATAATTTTTCATTCATACCTTTTCAGATTGAAGATTTCTATCGTCAGAAACACCAAGGTCGGAGTCTTCTATGGCAACACCATTTATCTCATGGAGTACTGGCTTATACAAGTGATCATGGTCGTTATGAATTTGAAGTGACCACTTATCAGCTTGTTGTTTTATACGCCTGGAATAGAAGATATGATCAACATCTTCATTTAGATTGTTTGCTTACTTCGACTGGTTTACAAGATGTTGATCTTCGTCGAACATTATGGGTATGTTTTAAATTAGTTACTTAAATAAATATATGCATGTTGTGGTTTATGCTACTTAAGCGGACCGAAATAAATAGTATGTAACAGGAATCGGAAGTAGAATGATTACTAGCAGAATAATAAAATAAAGAGAAGAGGAAGGAAAATAGAGAGCAATTAGAATAACAACAGTATTGGAAGAATAATGGAATGTGTAAAGGACAACTGACAGAAAATATGCAGATGATGTATTGAATGTTTGATTTTGATATTTTACAAAGTTACTGTTTGATTTAGCATAAAACAATAAATTGGTTTACCTCAACTAAGTTTTCGTTTACTACACTATATGTCTTGTGTAGTTTGTTTCATTTATTTTGAAAATATTGACAATATTATCTTTAAGTAAATCAGTTTTCTAATATTCTTGATTATCGTTAATCATTTTATCTTAAGATACTTTAAGTTTATTTTTATTCGAAGACAACTAGTCACTGAAGTGTTCGAGAAGTTATCTGTTGTTATAAAGAAGTAGTTCTCTTTTTAACGATAATACAGAGGTAGAAAAAAACTTATATATTTATTATTCTTCTTCTTAATAATTCTTCGTCACGGAAGTGATACTCACCTAATGTAAGTGGAAAAAGTTCACGTAATGTTGAGTTTAATTCATGTCTATATATCATATCTATTGAATAAGAAGTTGATAATAAATTCAGTTTAAAACATGATTGTGCATACATTTATAATTTCTTTTAGTTTATAGACAACATACACTTGCTTTGTGTTACGTACGACTTATTCTGAGTGGACGATACTGGTGTTGTCACAACAGTAGGCTGAAAGGAATATAGGGTTGGAGAAAATACATTAACACGTCAGTTCGTGAAGTCATTGACTGTTGAACTGATTCGTTTGTAGAAGAGCGATCTTAGTGATCATTTGCTAACGAGTTTGGATAGTAAAAATGTCTTAAAATTAAATGAATACATTCTTTATTCAAAATACTGTAATCAAGGATTAAATTCACTTCTCTACTAGGATAACCATAATATAACTGTCTGAGTCTTTTTGATAGAGACAGTATGATAAAAATTCCCGACGATAATTCCCTTTACTACAAATTTGACCATTCGCATGTCTTCGATTTCTCTACTTAATATCTCCTATAAAAGTACCAGATAATCTGTTTTATATCAAAATTTCCCATACGTTGATATTTAAAAGCATTTCTAGACAAGAAAAAAACGAATCATTTCGTAAACTCACTAATTAAAACATTCAGGTATATTAACAAAGAATATTCCTTTCAATATATTCTCTTCATGTTCTACAATTTTATATTCAAATGAATAATCAAAATAAGTGACTCGAATTAAGGCAAAATACATCGTTTAATATATATATATATATATATATATATATATATATATATATATATATATATATATATATATATATATATGTAGTGATCGCCGACTAGATGTCAACAATTTAGGAATCAACATTCGTACAATGTACATTCTTTTCGATGTATATTGCTAGCAACCACAATGTCTCTAATTGTTATCTTTCCTAACTTGCACGGCGAAATGTCGTGAACCTGTTCACAAACTCACCTGAATAGGTTGTGCAATTATCTGACATTATGATCTGTTGAAACAAACAAAATACAGATAACTTGTTGAAATATCTAGATGGCAGGAACAAATAGCCCAGTTATTCAAGCAGGCCGCCTTGCATGTTAATTAATGATCGTTTGTAATAGAAAATAAAATAAAATCGTTTATGTTGGGTTAACTAATATGAAATGTTGACTTGAATAAGTTTATACTTTAAGTGAAATGGCGAGAAATATGATCAAAATAAATATGGTCAACATGAGATGGGGGAGAGAGAGAATAATGTAATTACAAATAAGAAAGCCTCTAATATGTAGAATAATATGAATTAGGCTCCGGGTTTCGATCCGAATAGCTATTACTTCAACTGTCTAAAGGATTCTCATATTAATGGTCGATTACCTCACAATTTCACTTGATGTATAAATTCATTCAAATCAACACTTTATATTGGTTAATCCGACATTAACGATTTGATTTGATTTTCTATAACAAAAAATCCCTAATTTACATGCTATAATTTTAAACAATGTAATTTGCCTTAAATCTGGTCACTTATTGGATTATTCATTTGAATATATAATTGTAGAACCTGAATAGAATGTACTGAAAGGAATATTCCTCGTTCATATATTTGTGTTTTCATATGATGAGAATTTTTCAGCAATTAACTATTTGTTTATCATTATTCAAACATATGGATACTAAGATACTTATAACGTTTTTAGGATCATTCAATTTTAATGACTATATATTGCAACAATATAGTATGACGATATACACTATTACACTATAAATATCTAAACCCTCATACGCTGTAAATATGTTGTGTCAATGTCAAAAAAATCTTACTATTTTGTATTTTTTGCTTGAATACTATCTGATTGTATTACTCTTGAAAAAGAATATATCTTGTTATTTATCTGCATAAAAAATAATAGAAATAACGATCACAGAAGTATGTCTCTTAAGCTTCTTTTTCCAGTAGTTCGACTGCTTTTCTTTCTTCAAATTTGATTTGATTCATTTAAGTGTTCACTACGATTTCATGTGTGTGTAAGAGATGTTTTGTGTAGAGAGATCCTAGGCACGTTGATAGATATACACACCTAATGAGATAACTGTCCCAACATTGGTAAGAAGCAACTATCTGTTATTTCTTAGTTTTGAATGGTAGTTTAATTTAGACGATTACATAGTGTACTTCATGGGGTGTTTATTTTTTCTTGTCACATTTTCGTTTCGTATATCATATACATATTGTCCTGTTATTAAGTGTCATCTTTATATTCTGTATATATTTTTTCCATACTTTTTAGTCACTATGTGAACATCCTAAATTGGAACAACAGATTATTTGTTATTCTCCTAAAGTAAGCTCTGAAAAACAGTTTACTGCTAAAACGGAATTCTGGCTTAATTTAAAATTTACAAATACGTAAGTTATTCGTAATATTTGAATATGAAAGATAACTTGTATTGTAGAAAATATTTACATTAGTTTGTTTATTTAATGATATATATGAAGTTTACTGCTGTACCTAATCCAAACGATTCAAGTTTTGAGTTACTTTGTTTGTTTATAATTTAATTTCGCGGTTTTGAGATAGTGCTAATGAGGGAGACTGTTCTCTAGTTCTATTACGTCATGTAACTTCACTGGGTCGTTATTCAATTGTGATCACATTGCAACTGAATAACTGAGTTGTTTAAGGTGTGTAGGAGGCCATATTTTGTTAGTGTTGTGACTTAAAAGAAAAAATGTTTAAGTTAATGTGAGGACCTTTATATAATAGATTGTCAGACGACGAAGTTGAATAAAAATGCACAGAGTAGATAACTGTGATGAATATCGTTTAAATCAAACATTTTGTAACAGCGAACGAAAATACCTTTAATTGACAAAAGATGTTACAAAGCTGCTCTACTGACGGTACCAAATACCTTTTCTATATTGGGAAATGTAATAATTGTTATTTATTGTGAAACTGAATGAAAGGCAAGAAATTATCCTATCTAATCGTAACATATTATGCAGTTTTGTTTGCTTTCAGAGGTCAATTGTTTTTAATTTCAATTTAACTTTGGATTGTTATGAAAGACAAGATTTTATATACATGACTATTTGAGCTGGCTTATATTGATTGTCATAAAATATGACTTATCTAATGAATTAAGCGATTTGCGAATGGAAGCGGTCAAGGATTGATTTGTTTGCTTATCAAACTACAGCTAATCATAATTTCACTGACAATTGCACTTCCATCTCTACCGTCGTCAACTAATTAAGAGTCGTTGCTATTTAACTGCGAAATATCTGATCATTGATTAACAGCGCTCAGTTTTTCAATAGTCAGTCCTATCTGTATATTGAAACGGTGGTTGTACATCTAACGTAACTAATAACTGAAGGAGTTGAGGTTTTAGTTTTCTATCTAACTGGAAAGGTTGCCTCTGTATGTTACCTTACAGTGTTTAATGACCCGAACTCTCCTGTCATTTTTGGACAGATAACAGAAGGCTAATAATCGATTGAACATGTTTGTAAAAATGTGTATTTACGACAGCCAGTAGAACTTGAAATAGACCGGCCAGACAAACAAATACAGATAATTGTAAAAAGTGACAGAAAACGTGTTCATATTCAAACGCAGAGCAATGAATTTGTTGAATTTTCGGCCACTAAGTTTCAAGTTCTAAACCCGTGCTGGCTACCTAGACCTGCACTACTAGGTAGTATCACTCACCCTCACACAGTGCCCTTCGTATTAAATCAACCCGGACAGACTGATTTGGTGTATTTTCAAGGGTTTAGTTAAATTTATTAGTCCGTATCATAGATTGGCCTTAACTATATAACCTTCGAAAACAAGGAATCCCTAGACAACTGTTTCTTCCTAATATGTGACCTTTTACCATTACGTTTACAAGATCCTGTCGGACTTCGTACCCAGGAACTTCCTGTCTGACAACAGTTACTTTGGATCAATAAACCGACAACAAATTATACTGAATGTACCACACACTTCATTTTCTTTATACCTTCCTAATGTTGTTTTTGTTTCTATAGGAAAATGGGGAAAGTTCAAAATCGTCGAAGAATCAATTTGATTGGTCGACTCCAACTAACTCATGAAATAACAAATGAAGAAGAAAGTATGGCTATTGTGGAATTACGTCAACTACGTGCACAAGAGGGCATAATTAAATTATTGAAAACACGTAAACGTTTACATCATAATGAATTATATCAAGAATTAGTTGATCTACTAAGATTTCAATTTGTTCCATCGAAACGATTAATTAAAGAAGTATTAGAATGGCTTATTGATAAACATTATGTTCGCCGTGATAATAACGATATGAATGTGTTTGTATATGGTACTTGAAAATTGAATGCCTTTCTGTTTTTCATAGTGTGCTTTTTTAAATTTATTTACATGAAATCAATTAGATCTTCATCCATCTTACCCTTCTGTTTTATACATCCCTGTAATTAGTCTTCGAAAGAAAAAAATCACTCAACGAATGTATTAGTGGTCTTTTTCCTCATATATATCACGAATTCGTCTTTTATTTTTACACCTTACTATTATTATTATTATTATTATTATTATTATTATTATTATTATTGGGTTGAGGTTTGGTTTTCCATTGTTACATTTTTAATTTTCTTAATTATTTTTCACAAATACACTGTCTTTTAGTTACCAGTAATTCATCCGTGATTTTGTAACCGACCCGATATTTTTCCATTTACTTCATTGGCTAATGAACTTGTACCCAATAAAGTTTTAAATGATATTCTAATTGGTTGATGTTTAAACAATATTGCGAAATTTATCTAAGAAATGATATGTATTACAAAGTCATGGAACAATCACCTTTTCATATCTTCTGTGCTCTCTCTCTTTGTGTCTCTGCATAGAATATTTACTTATTTCAATCAGATAATATTTCGCATAATTGCTCAATCATTTGTATTTGTGAAAGGGTGGAAGGATAAATTTATAGTCTTTGTTTCTCGGTAATATCTCACTTCTCTATTTGTCATTGACATTCATAAAATTACCTGTGTAACTTGTATTCCCTGTAGTATATATATATATATATATATATATATATATATATATATATATATATATATATATATATATGGAAGATTTTATTGTCTAATAAACTTCAACATTTCTTCTTCTTTTACTCTACTGTTATTTATTCTTAGCATTTTTTCTTATTCTTTGATGGATTTTATAAAATCCTGACCATCTCTTCATTGAGTAATGCGTAGCTAGTTCAACTTAATGTATCCAGTTTTATTTATTTGACGTTTAGCTTATTAATGTTAAAGTTGAGTTCGTCTTTTTGGTGTTGTTGCATTATCTTCAATTTATTTTGTTTCGTATTTTTCATTTGGTTTATTTTTGGTTGACTTTGTCAATTTCCAATTACTTCATTGTATAAATTACTCTAGAAATGTCCTATGAACAAAATAAACGAAGCAATAAAACAATTATTATTTACTAATTTGAAAATTTTTTCACTAAATTAGCCTATAAAAAAAGTTTGGTTAATATAGTATATCGCTCAATTTCGTGGAGTAGTTGAAGTTAAACATTAACACTAATGGATGCCGGCTCAGTGATCTAGAGGTTAAGCGTTCGCGCGTGATACCGATGGGTCCTGGGTTCGAATCTCGGATCATGGATGCGCACTGCTGAGGAGTCTCACAATGGGACGAAACGGCCATTCAGTACTTCCAGGTTTTCCATGGTGATCTGGCTTCAATTGATTCATGATCTCAACTACTGAAATTGATATAATATCTGTTAACGGATAATTAAGTGGCATTAATTGTTTGATATGTGTAATGTTTTCAGTTTACATAGAAGAGGGTTGTGTTTAGGTTTTTTGAAATTGAAGTAAATGTTTCTCTTCAAAAGCACTGGATTTACGATTGTCACAGTTTTGAACACTATTTTTTTGTGAATCATGGAATACGTTTATATTATGTTGTTTGAATATTTTGATTGTCCATACTCTTGAAAGTTAAGATTTTTCATTATAGGTTCATTCATTTCAGTGAAAAAAGATTTTACATTTAGTTAAGCTGTGTATTTTAGCCATACAATGTGAGTTTTTTGAAGTTAAAGAAGGAATCTAATTATTCTTCGATATACCACCTCAGGTTATGTAAATTGAATAAATGAAATAGTCCACTTCACATGGCATCACATATTCTTTTGACTGCTTTGTGACATACGGTAGTTACTCAATGTTATTTCCAACCACATTAAACTATTACCAGCAAAAATCGAGCTCGCAGTATTCGGAAGATCGTTAGGCTGTTCTTCATAGACCAACATTGGTTTTCGTTGGAGATTGGCCTTATCTACAACTTGTCCTGAAACCAGATGATGGTCAATCAGTCATAATCAACATGGGGCCTACTACATAATATGCATTATCTAAACTTGCAATACAATATTAACAGGACAAGACAAATTTAAAAAATACAAATACCATAAGAATCGAAATAATGTAATTACAATGTTAGTAAGAAAGATTGAGTATTGAGAATATAGTTAAAAATTGCTCAGTGGAAGTGTATTTTGATAGGACACTAGAAATCAAGGTTGAGAGAAAAATAAAGAGCGCCATTTTGATAGAATTTGAACCATTTTGCCTAAAGTCTTTATCCACTGGTCGTAGTTGTGGCGGGAATCCTACCCATATAGACTATATTTGCTGACATGATTCAGACCAACTGTCAGTGGCTTCATGGACTCTTCTGCATTTATTCCAACTGCACAAATCAGCTATTCGTTGGATTAACGTCTATTGCTAGCACATAGCAGGCATTATTGAATTTGAATACAATTTAACACATTACTTGTTTGGTGTTGTTGGGTTTTATTGGGCTGTTCCTTATACCCATTCTTCGGCAAAATCAGGTAGAATTTATATCTGACACATTGGGCCAACCAGAGATGTATGCGATTAGGCAAAAATGGTGTGCATTTCTTAGGGATATGACACACCATTGGTAGCATATTTGTCTGTGATATATATAAACGGGGATACATGTGGATTGAGTTTGTTAATTAAATTCTTTTCTCACTATCAGGCTTTCCACATAAGTAACCAGTTGGGCTCGTGTATAGGAAGATTGTGTATTAACATAAAAATCGAATGCCTCATGTCACAGCAGTTCTATCTGATGAATTTAGGTAATCCCAATCACATGATTGTATTAGTTTCTAAAGTACTGGAGGGAAGATGCACTTCACTAGTATTACTCTATTTCTCTAACGATCTTTGCTTTAATTTTCATCTTTTTGACGTTATTACTTCTAACTCAGACTATTTTGAAATTATATTAGTAGATATTTATGATTGCCCAACAAAATTGAATAGTGACATAAAAATCCCCAAATTCATTCTATGCAAACAGTGCTTTTAGAAATTCCTCAGGAAATTAGGGAAGTCCCAATCCTTTCCAATTGCCAAAGATTACAGGATTCTGGAAATCGGCTATAAAGTCATTGTCTCAACTATTCAGAATATCGGAACCATCAAAAGAGCATCAGAATCTTGGTAACTGAGACCGCCGGATATCACGGGTGTTTGGAGTGAAAGTTAGTGTGTATGTGCTCTGGTATGAATGTCAACAATGGGATGTAGGTATATCCGACTGAAAAGTCCTAAACAGATTGAAACGTGAACCTTGGATTCAACTGATAACCACTATCTATCTTTACTTAAATAATTTGGTTTTGAGTTTAACGCAGTTGTCTTCTCACTAACATGTCATGTTAGTGACCCTGGTTAAAGCGTCCGACATTCACTTTTCGTCATCTCAATTTCGTAAACAACAGCCCCATCGCGAGAAGTCAGTGAATAAGACTTCCCCGGCAGCGGCTGTATACATGTGGCCATGTGAGAGCATTTGGAGAGAGAGAGAGCTGACTCCCCACCCTTGACCGTATCAGAGAATTTGGGGGCAGATTATGTGTCGTAGGTGGGATTTCAACTCACACTCATCGGTTTACGATGAAAAGCAAAATCCTATGTCTCTTATATGTATTGAACATTTAAAGCTATCCAGGTGATGAAAAACTAGAATTTTCTAATGTGAATGGGTTAACTAAACATGAAACCACTAATATATATATATATATATATATATATATATATATATATATATATATATATCACTGCATTCACCTGACCTAACTTATTTTATATTTCCTGATAGAGGAAATGGCATTTACAATATAAGAAAACTGAAAATATCATTGAATAAACTAACAAATTATATATAATCTATGCGTTTATATTTTGTAATTAATATTAATTTTCTCATCAATCCCTGTTTATTCTTGTCCATTATTTCCACATTTACTGTTTCTCTCTCTCTCTCTCTCTTCACATGATTGAATTTTCCCTTATGAACGGAAATATTTAACTTACATAATTGACACTTTAATTTTTAAGTTTTATGGTTAGTACCTAGTAGTGGACTATGGAGCTATGCCAGTATAATCATGAATTAAAAGTAATTGTAAAGGCTTCAAATTTTCTTGATCGTCAATGTGCTCTAAACCTTGAGTTTCATGATTATTTCATACCCATATGTATCATGATTTCATTTGTTATTTCCAAACTACACTCTTTTTTTAGTTTATTACACTGATATTGTGGTGTGTGCTACTTATATCGACATAAGTAGTATATAACGCTGGTCAGGAATAGAATGCTCGGCAGCAGAAGCTCAAAAAGATCGAAGAGGAAAGGACGGGAGTAGAATGCAGGGACATTGAAGTCTAAGATGATTGATTGATATTTGCAAAAGGAACAGTCAAGCTTGAAACAATTGATTGACATTTTTTGCCAAATAAGTATTCACTGTATGGTTCTCAGATCTTACTAAGACGTTCTTCAATTTTTTGTTCAAATACATTCAATTGTCCCCACTTGTGTTCTCGTTCACTACAATATTATTTCAACTTGTTGGATTCCGACAGTGTTGATTACCTCTCTTGTGTTACTGATATGACATTTTTGACCGATACATGATTTTACCAGTTTCCATGTTGTTTACACGGGACTAACTGACTGACTGCCTGATAAAAGTATATTGTTCTATAAAAATCCTTATTTAGTTACGTAATAACACAGTCCAGAGATAACAAAGCCTTTTTTTAATTGTTTGTTTAGATGACCGCATGTTTCCTGAACGAAATTTATTCTAAGTAAGGGAATTTTCTTGTGTATTTGCTTCTAGGAATCATTGCACTTCTGAGAAGAAACAGTAAAATTTTATGCTAAGATTAATAATTTTCAAAGGCTAGGAACTGGAACTTGTTAATATGGCGGACTGATTATTAACCCGTTCTAATCAACTAGTGACCATAGGTGATTTTGAATATATATACTCAAGCTAACTTATATATTGGTAATTAATTATATCAATAGAGGGTTGTGAAGACTGTTGAGTTTAAATTGATATCTTGAATGGATGAATGTTAGACCACCATTGAAAATCTGGAAGCACTTTTATACAATACAGATTGTTTTAAAGCTCTTTTCAATATTAATAATTTATTATTATTGGAGTTTATTATTATTAT